GCCCAGGTATGACGGGTTGGAATAACATCCGTCCAATCTCACGCATACATCCCAATTCTTACCACTTCTATTTCTATAAGCTCTATATCGAAGCGCCAGCGCATTGATCGGATCCGGACACTTTTGGAAGCATTTGGTATCCAGAACCAGGCAAACACGTTGGTTGGCACTCCGATCCGGAAGGGCATCAGCGGTGGCCAGAAGCGACGTGTAAGTGTGGCTAGCCAGCTCATCACCAATCCAAGGATTTTGTTCTTGGATGAGCCAACTAGCGGTCTAGACTCGACTGCCAGCTTTGAGGTGATGTCGTATGCAAAGGAACTCGCGCGGGCCAATAACGTAGGTTCATATCCCATGGTATCCCTGTTTCCGTTAACAGTGTTTATGATAGCTTCTCATCATTGCGAGTATCCACCAACCATCCACCACGACGTTTAAGCTCTTCGATAAGCTGCTGCTTCTCTCGGCAGGAAAAACATGCTATTTTGGGCCAGTCTCAGCTGTGGAGAGTTACTTCAGTGGCATTGGCTATCCAATCCCCGCGCAAACCAATCCTGCTGAATTTATCTTGGATACTGTCAGTTCTGATTTTACCAACTCGAAGGACTTTGAAGAAGATCGGATCCAGGTTATTCAAACTGCCTGGGCAAACTCAAATGAGGTAAAATCACTAACAAGCCAAGTTTCTGAGCGGGCACGCTCGACAAAGAAATTTATCGACCAGGCCTCCATGGATGAAAAAACTCGACCGGGAACGATTTCAATTACCCTAGCTCTGCTGCATCGCTCATTTGTCAAGTCTTACCGCGATGTCATTGCTTATGGGATCCGCATCGCGATGTATCTTGGTACGAATCTTCATGCTCTTTTGAAAGCTTACTGGACCTAATGTAGCACAGGATTGGCTATCATGATGGGGACAGTGTGGTTACGTCTTCACCCATCCCAAGACTACATACAGCCGTTTATCAACGCTATTGTTTGTTTGAATATGATTGAAATTGAAGGCATCCTGATACTGACCTTGGATATAGTTTTTTGGCTCCGCGTTCATGTCTTTCATGGCGGTAGCATACGTCCCCGCATTCCTCGAAGACCGGGCAATTTTCACCAAAGAGCGAGCCAACGGGCTATATGGTGTGACACCATTCATGGTCTCAAACTTTCTCATTGGGCTTCCCTATCTGTGTATGTCCTCACTATCTCCTGCCACATGCACGATCTCTAATATCTCTAGTTCTGATTTCTATGCTCTTCTCCATCGTATCATACTGGCTCTCCAATCTCCAACCAACAGCAGAGGGTTTCTTCACCTGGGTGATGTGGATATTCCTTGACCTTGTGGCCGCCGAATCCCTCGTGGTCCTCGTGACATCGATCTTCCCAAACTTTGTCATCTCCTTGGCGCTTGTCGCATTCGCAAATGGCCTTTGGATGAGTGTCGGGGGTTTTATGGTCACGCCGACCCTTCTTAATCCGTTTTGGAAATATGTGTTCCACTACATCGATTACCAGGTATGCTAACGCAACGCTATCAGAAGGTGATTTCTTGTCTTCATCATCACTAATTCGCTTGCTACTTGGAATAGGCTTATGTCTTTCAGGGTATGATGGTCAATGAGTTTTCCAAGAGGCATTACTCGTGTGGTCCTGGTTGTCGGTGCATCTGGTCTACTGATCTGGAGGATCAGTGTCTCATTCGGGGTACTGGAGTACTGGAATCGTATGGATATTCCATAGGTCAGACGGGGAAGTGGGTTGGCATTCTTCTGGGCATCATTGTCGGATATCGAGTTCTTGGATGGGTTGCTCTCTATCTGCGCAGGAATTAGGAGATCGAGGGTTAGGGATGCCGCAGGGGTACTCCAGGTTTGATTTGGCTATTGGTACAGACTACAGTGTGGGGTTAACGTTGATGTTGGTGAATGCATGTATTGATCATTTCGGGTAGATATATTGATAGAAAACCACTTGCGTTCGGAGACCATATCTGCATCCACCTAGGCAAAATTCGGGGAGCTTCATCCGAAGTGGCAGCCGCGCCTATGCCCCGATACCATGAAGAGGCGCCACAATCCTCAATTGAGCAAGGTGCTGTAGATTCCGTGGCACCTTAAGAGCATGCTGGCCTTGAAGCATAGCCACGGGAACACTTGACTTACCTGACTTGCTTTTGGTACGACATCAGACAATGCGATTTACCCATCGCGTGCCAAAGCCTAACCCGGAGCCTACATCGTCGGCATGAAAAAGGCTGTTTGGTCTTGACGAATCATATCAGCTTCAAAGAACAATGGGGTGATGCGATCAACATGCAAGTCATCTGTACCTATGTACAATGTACACGAACCTTCTATGACGTTTCCACAGTTTCTTTTCCTCTCCCGATAGCTTTGATAGAAGCCTCTAGAGCCGAGAAAGGAATAGAGTTGGACTCACCTCCCCCCCCCCCCCCCCCCCCCATCATCTTCATCGCCAGAGCACCATTAATCGGTTCTCACGAAATAGCGGTGAAGATCTCAACCTCGCGGAGCTGATGCCATCTCGCAGAATGAAGCAAGGGGGTGGCTCCTTGACCTTGTTTTGGTTTCCCGAGGCAAATTAATGGACTGACTGGGGACAGATGTCAACGTGATCGCACGATGAATTTGACATGCGTGGAAAGCTTGTTGGCTGTGCTGCCCTGCGATCCGAATTTAGATGCTTGCCGATGCGCAAAGCATGGTTCCTAGCACACCCGAGCCCGATGCGAAGGTCGATGAATTGTGTCCGTCAAAGGTGTCACTGTAAAAGGGACGCGAGAAGACACCACTGGAGCTGCATGGAGATCCTTGGTTATGTTTGGAGCGGAGCCATTTTCCTAGTTCGATTTTTCAGCCTCTTTGGCCTCAAGATATCCAGTCCGGCCCACTATCACATTTTGATCGGCTCGGTCTGCACAACCAGTGTCTAGGGTATCTAGGATGATATCGACTACGTTGGAGAGTTCGTGCTGGTCACTTCTAGGTTTTATGTGGTCGTTCCCCTGTGGAATGAGATTACCATAAAATTTATTCAAGGACGCAAGGGGACGTGAAGAAATCCACAACGGCAATGATAGACTGTCCGTTCTGCATGTCATACCAGTTTCTGCTTCCCGAGAGACGGCTCCGACCATTTTCATCCCTAGTGCAATATGGTACTCCAGGTATGAAGTACGTGGCCCTTCGTACCACTACCTCTTGGCGTTGGACCTATAGCACCCTCTAAGATTGTCACAGGGTTCCCCCTAGTGTGAGTCACGAATGGAAAGTAGACAGGCGGAGAGTAAACCCCGTCCAAAGATATCCTGCCACATGGACGAGGGGCTTTGACGACGAATGCCATGCAGCGCTTAGTCCCTCTTCCGACTCTAGTGCTATTTGATATCTGTAGTCTCTCCGTTGTATGGTAAAAGTTCATCTGACTCCCTCCACAGTGGCGATTCTGTCAGGCTTCGTTGTTGACCCCTCCCCCCTAAGATGTCTGCCTATATTGTCCTATGAGTGAGTAGATGTAGTAGGAGTCACCTTGGCAATTGTGATTTACAGCCTGAGTTGCAGAGTATCCGCCCCCCCCCCCCAACCGACTTTTTCCCGTGTGCCGGATACATTGTCCTTGTACTCGAGGCCCTGCCATAACCACTGTCTACACAACTGAACAAAAATGACCCAACGATCGAGAAGGATAAATTGAATTGCCCGACCACCGTACCCGATTTTTGGCCCGAAGAACAGGGTCCTTATTGACAAGGAAGACCCTTCACATCGGTAATAATTGGGCCGCAAAGCCGGTTGGGCGTTGGGATGCACTTTTAGGGAGAAATAGGAAGGCAACATTGTACATCTAGCCGAAGATCCTTTCAAACACGGGAAAAACGGAAATCATCAAATGTGAAATGTGAAATGTGACATTATCCAATATGACATCTTGTAAAAGACGCGACGTACAAAGTAAAAGAAGTACAAGAGTAACTACTCCGTAGTCCCAGATCATCTCACGAACTTCACGCAGGTGATAGACCCTTCGACTGTATCCAAATGTACCGAGACAGAGTAGAACAACCAAACTCCAATCTACGAAGTCCTCCGTACTGTGAACTAAATAACATATTGTCCCCCACTTTGTTTGTGTTGGGTACCCAGAGCCTCTTTCAACCTTTTTGCTTTCGTTTCCTTTTTTTTTGGAGTTTTTTTTAAAAAAAAAAAACAATCCCCCCCCCCCCTCCTGGTGCCCTGTTCCGTCGTTCAGTCTTCCCGTCTCTTTTATATTTCTTATTCTCGATGTTCCTCTCTTTTAATTTTTTTTTCTCTCTTTGATCTCTATCTCTTTTTCTCTTCCTTTAAAGATCAATCAAATCGCCCCTCACTTCGGCTTTTTGAAATCGCTGCCCATCGACTCCACTCTCCACTTCCCCCCCCCCCCCTTCCCCCCTTCCCCCCTTCCCCCCACTGGGTTCTAAGACCGTCAGGCAGAGGATCCCAAATTCTCAACCCAACCTCTGCAGCTGCAGTCCGTTCCACCACTCATCGTCTGCCAGAGAAGTCATTTGCAATTTTCTTCTTTCTTTGACCCAACGCGTCCACCCGACTCTTAGCCTTACATCCCACTTCGATGGAGACGTTGCGAACTAAAAAGTGCCATCTCACTCTCTCCGCTTGACAGAACTCCGTCGCCCGTCGCCTGCCATCGCCCGCTGCGATCGGCAGGTCCGCTTACTTATTTGAGTGACCCACTTGGGTTGGGCACTGGGGAGAAAAGGAAAAAAAAATAAAAAAAAACCGGGAAGCCCATTTGGTCAGATCTACGGGGTTGAGAAGGGGAAAATAAGATCGATTCTGACTCATCGTCAAAGGGCAGCAGTGGCGTGCTGTTAGTTGACCATCTCTGGAGCCACCCACGTCGCCCTGGTCGGAAACGGGGCCAACCCAGTTTTTGGAATTTGGTTTTCCAGACACCCGATTTGCCTTGCAGCCCACATAATGGCCAGTAAGGGCCCCTGGCCTGCCTGCGTCGAAGATTACGACGAAGAACACCACGCCATCTTACCAGACACCAGGCTTTCTGCCAATATTGCTGCCAATACAGCTGCCAAATTATCTACCAGGTTGGAAAGATTCCAGGAGCCGCTGATCGACGGCGCCAGTGACTCAGGTTACTCTAGTCGTACCGCCGCTACGGTGAATAGCACCCAATCTGGGCCGTCGGGCGGAAAGGGCCCCACGACCCCTCTTAAGCTGGACACCCCCAGGCGTAACGACCTCGCCAGGAAAAGTTCCACCAGAGAACGCAAGGACAAAGAACGATCCCGACCCTCGCGCGAAGAGAAGATGGTTGGTGCCTATCCGGGCGCTGCCCATCATGCTCATGTGCCCCGGTCGTCGTCCAAGTCTCGTCAACGAGAATCTTCCCATGCCGGCCCGTATCACGATAATTACTATGATTACCCTACTCAGTATCATCAATCCAACCCGGGTGACCACCGGCAGAGCGAATATTCCTATTACCAGTCACGCCCACCAGTCCCGGAATACTCATCGTCATCGCACCATGCTCATTATCCAGCCGTCGTAGAGAATATTCACGCCAGTCATTCTGGTCGACCCAGCCGCTCCAATTCATATCACACCTACCACCCAAACGGACGCCCCATGAGTTTCCACGGTGTACCACATGGAATGGGCTCGGGAATGGCATCTCCCATGTACCCCCAGCATGGATACGATCATCATGGCCCTCCACCAGCCAGCTCAGCATACATGCACCAATACTCATCCTCTTCATATGGACAAACCCCTTCCTACTACGCCCCATCGGCCTCGGACTATCCCCCATCGGAATATCCACGAGAGCGGTCCCGGTCCCGGGAACCATCCCGCCATCGGTCCTCATCCGTATATACTGCCCCAATCCCACCGGTGGACTCTGCGTCGTATCCCTGGTTTGATGAAGAGCCACCCATGGAGCACTACTCCTCCCGGGATGTCCGTGAGCGTCCGCCCACAAGACATCAGGAACAAGATGAAGACTACTATCGGATGCCACCACCGGGAGCCAAGCCCAAGCCCAGGCCGCAGATTCACCAGGCGAAGCGGCCAGAGCGGCCAGAGCCACCCCGGAAAATGCATACCTCTGCCGGTATTCCCTCCCAACGTCGCCCATCCAGAGGCATGGACCGAGATCTGGACCGCATGGACATGCCGGAACTTGGAGCCGCCTTGCCGGTGATTCAGGATCGCTCCCGTCGTCGGATATCAAGGGAAGCCCCGTTGCCTGAGAGAACCCATAGTCTACGAGATCGCCGACGATCGACCTCCTACCAGGATGATCGACGGACTGCTCAGGTGGCCGTGGCGAGCTCTCGGCGGCGGAAGCCAATCGATTTCTCGGACGACGAACAGTCCAGCTCCGGCGGCGACCTTGAAGACCTCGAGCGGGAAGCTGAGAACTACCAGGCAGCCCGATCTGGCCGAGCCGCATCGGCTGCACTGCCTCCCTCCGCGGATGCATTGCTTCCTGCCAAGGCGTCTCACCGCAACGGGAGCGAGAGCGGCAGCCAGAACAGTCGGTCGAGCCGCGACAGTGCTACACCCTCACGGAAGGAGGAAGACAAAAACATGACCCTTACATTGAACGGGTTTCAAATTGGATTTACCTCTGAAGCAGTTACCGGCAAATCCATTAACATTCTTACTGAGGAAACTGGAGGTGTTCGATTGAATATCGGCGGCCCGCGGGTACCTAAGCAGCATGTGAACAGTACCAGCTCTAACTATGCGGGCGGCTCCAGCCGTCGGGAACTTGAAGACGTGGTGCGGCGTCCCCGGGATGATAGGCGGTCGGAACGCTCTCGTCGTTGAGATGGCTAGTCGGCCTACGGGACTGCTCGCTACCATTAATCTTGTCATCCACCCTGTTTGATGTTGTCGTTTTTGGGGGTTTTCTTCTTTTTCGTGGTCAGACACATTTAAGTTGTGATTCCATCCTGTGTCTGTATAGTCGTTTGTGGCTGGCCTTGTTCGTTTGCCAAAAGTCTCGATGTTTTCGCACATGTTGCGTTTTTCTTTTTCTTTTTTCTTCTTTTTCGGGATCGGGTGATTGTGCAACAAGAAAAAGTACGGTGATTACCAAAAGCGAGACTTAGTTGAGCGACTGGTGAATAGGCTGGACTTGGTCACGAAATCTAGAGTTGCCTATGACCCAACGGTCTCGCGAAACTGGGAGGACTTTTGGTGTGATTTCATTTGCAACTGCTGTCTCGTATTTTTTTTTTTTTTCTATGTTTGGATGCTTGGGCAAAATGGTCGGGCACGAACCCCCTGATGATGTGTTTGTTATGCTCGATATGATTGTACGATTCTGATGACCTGCAATGACAAGTCTGATGTGCTTTACTTTCTGATGTCTTTTTGTCAGCGTTCCATGTATAGCCTTTCTCGCTGGTCCTGTGTCTTTCTCCCGGTTACTTTGTTTCACGGCTCCGAGTGGCCGAGAGAGATTAAACCTATATCTGTTTGCTTATCATCCTCAAGATGTTGTCTTTTTCTTTGGCCATGTCTTTGGTTTTATTTGTCTTGTGGGTTTTTGGTTCCGCTGGGAGCCTCGTAGTTTTCTTGCTGGGCATTTATCGATTCGATTGATTTTCACATTTTCGTTCAACTCCTTGTCTGTTTTTTTCGTCCCTCGGTCTTGATGCGTTTTCCCTGCTTCTGCTGTTTAGTTGATTTTGATACCCCGCAAGCTGTATGGGCGCGATCACAGCTTTCGACCGTGAATGTTGTATGCCTCTCTCGGAGGCTTCTAGCGGGTGGCATTTGTCGACTTGATACTTCTGATCCAAAATTGAATCCTCGTTAAAACGCCATGTTTCAGATCTGAATAGAAGTCAACTATGATCGCATCTGTTTTTAAGATCGACCCACGGTTGGCCCAAGTCTACCCGTCGACAGACCCGTGGATGCCTGGGCAGTGTGGGGGGTGATGTAAGCGGGTTGCCTGTGACAACCCCCATGTAAACACGAGCCCCAGCCTCTCCTCCAACCTCCTCCATTTTGTGCCAGAAGTCAAGCGGAATCACAGCTAGGTTGGTTTTCCCCCATCTTCTTATCTTCAACGATTTACTGATACCAATCTAGGCACTGCGCTTCGAATTTGCCCACATTTCACACCCACGTTCGACGCCCACATTTCAGCGTGTCAGAGATCTATCTCTATCTACATCTGGCGTTGACCACTTGGTTTAATGTATGTTCATATATCCCACCTGGCAATCTCAGGAATTCTTGGTTCACTAACGATCTGATAGTGAGTCCAGTCTTGAGCCGGGTGCTCTTGACCACTCTAACATTCTTTCATGCCTCCAGCCTGGCCGATCGGGGATTCCCCCGACATTGCAGAAGCAACCGTTGGTGGACTCTATGCTCGGGATGCTGGCAGTGAGAATTTTGCTGATGCATCAACTTCCCTCCACCCTAATACTCCCAACCTCTTCCTTCGTGCCGACTCCTCAACAGATGATTCCAGCGAGCCAAAATATGGCAAAGGCACTGTTGACCCGCACAGCATCAAGATGCAAGGCCTGATGGCCTTGTTCGCCCTCATTGGGCTGGCGTTTGTCATAGGCGGCATCTGGTTCTTCTTCTGGGCTAAAAACGGCGGGTTCGTCTGGCGCAAAGGCGACTGGGACGACTACAAGTCCACTGTTCTGCGACGAAAAGGACCGGACGGAAAGACTCTCAGTAATGCTACAGCGAGTACCAAGCTCGGCGGTGGAAGTATTGTCGGCAAGGGCTACACGGACGACGGATACTCATTTACAGAAGGATCATATATCGACACCGCAACGATCGCTACAGAGAAGTCACGGCACAAGAGGTTCAGAGAAACCGCCAAAGAGAAGCTCCTCCGACGTAACAAGCACGAGCAGTGGGAGGGCGCAGACGATGCCGACGTACGTGCCTACCGACAAGAGAAGCCCGCTCAAATCGGCGGCATGAACCGTGAAGCCGACGGAACCTACAACGGCAGCGACTACGACACATCCGCCCCGCCCACCGCCTACCAACAGAGCGAGATGAGCCATTCTCATGATTTTGCATACGATCAGCCACGCCGGCAGCGCCGCGATCCCTCGGGCTTCTCGTTCACCCAAGGCAGCGAGGATGTCATCAGTCAAATACCCGAAGAGCGTCGTATCCGTGGCCCATCTACTCGCCGCCATAGCCGCCGTCAGGACCGTCGCAGTGATACCTCCCCATCTGCTCCACCCTCCGCACCTTCATCTCGTACTAGCAGCCCGCGCAAGCAACGTGAGCGCCGTTCTGTGCCCCTAGGCCACTTCACCGAACCCCTGGATTTCTCAACTACGGGCTCGCGTGCTGAGTACCAATATTCCAACGTTGACACGGAGGATTCTGGTACGAAGAGCTACAAGCATCCGATTCCGGGTTTGTCGAAGGGATACCGCCGTGATGGACGAAGGAGTCGTCGTCGTGATAGTCTGAGTGATAGTGAGGGCGAGACACAGTACTCTTGAACTTCAACTGCACATCGGGATATGCCTTGATGTTTGGGATCTGGGTTTGAACGTTTAACAATTCTTTGGGTTATGGAAATAGCGTCTTTTTTATTTTTCACGGCAAATGCCGATCGACTTATGGATACGGATAGGGGGATTTGTTTGGGTCATGTACATAATGAACAGAATCACGATTCAAATGGATAACTTTTCGATGCAACATAGTATATGTACATAGGTGCCTGGGCATCGCTTCCATGAACCGTTGAGCCGTAAGATTGTCCGATGTACACTTTAGCTCCACACCAGGTGCTTCCCTTGCAGCACAACCTGAGCTTGAGAAGTGCCCGGCCTTCCTTGCAGATAAATCGTCAACTGCTATCTATCCCAATTCTCGGTATCCGGAGTCAAGACAAGAGCCTTGTTGTTGACGACGTAAATGTCATCAACCTAACTCCGCACCATCCTCTCTCCCCCCCGCAGTAGCACCTCAAGATCAACGACCTCTTGTTATTTCTGGCCCCTTAGGTGTGGGAAAGGGAATTCTTCTCCGAAAGCTCATTAAACCCCAACCGAACACAACCGAATACTTTCGAATGTCGGTAAGCAAGGTTGAACAACCCTCGAAGGGAATTTGCTACTGAATATCCGGATAATATCCAAAGAGAACGAAAAGTGGGAGCGTTTTCCTTGGGTTCCAGGGTTCTAGTGGGATGAGGTTGCCTCCCTGAGGCTTTGGTGCCCAAAGTTGGCAATCTCCGATGTCCGTTCCTCTATGACCTCCCTGCATTGCATTAGCTCCCGCCCTTCACAGTATAGTTCGAGCGCAACGGTAAAGTCCTGAGTCAAAGATTTCGATGTGCATCACATAATGAGTAATCCTCTTCACTTACCTAGGATCTCATTGGAATCATGTTCCGGGTCCGCCATCATTTGCTAGTTGCTAAACCCTCTCTCCCGCCGGTGAGCGTGTAACAAGACACCAATGTGATTCATGCCGTACGCGCCTTACATGTATTGATAAGTCAATTGAGCGACCATTGTTGGGAAGGTCCGAGCCGCTTGGTAGGTACTTGAGGAGTTCCTAACAAGGGATATAAAACCCCCAAGGCTTAGATTTCATCTGCCTAATCTTCCTGGATTTCTGATTTAGTCGAAATGGTCCAAATCATAGCATCGGATTGGACACTTCTGACTACTCCCTCTTAAGAGCAATCGATTGGCTCGGTCCATCTACAACCATTCCAGTAGGCATCATTAGATACACAAAGAATGATTCAGTAACTAGATAGGTGACAGGAGAGTTTCTGTACGAATCGGACTACCCGTACGGTGTGTTAATTGCGGAAATAGCAGATCAAGATTCCAAATAAATGATTCCTTATTCCTCTTGTAAAAGAAATCCGGAGAAGTAATGCGTCTAATCAAAGCGTCGTAACACGCCAACGAAACACATCCGGATCTGCGTTCCCCATGCCTAAAGATGCACCTGATACCTGTAGGAATTAGTTCTCATTCGTCCCAGTGCCAGGCTGTCATGCAAGTCATGTTGATCATGTACTGCAGCAGGACCCGTTCTATTACGGCCAAACGTTTACCAATGATCGAATGGGCTTCAGTCACCCACCGGAGAACAGCAGCTCGCCAATCATCCTAGGATGATGGCACACATCCAGTTGCAGAAACAATAACAAAGGAAAAGACGAGCAGTTTGCCTGAATGGACCCCTAAGCCCCAGGACGAGGCAGCCAGTGAAACATCCGGTCGAAGAATAGGGCATACAAGCATACCCATCGACCACGATATCAAAGTTCTCCCCGTAGGTACGGTCACTAAAGCGTCCCAACGGTGATTTCGTCAAATAGGATTGAATAGCGTGAGGCACCGTGGAATTAGTTCCCATGTGAGATGCTTCGGCTTCGATCTGGATGGCCGGTGGAGAAATTTACTGATAGCAATTAATCAAATGAATGCTTCTTCGGATTCTATGGAATTTCTATCTGATCTTGCAAAGGAAGGCAACGTGATGGCAGAAGCCATGGTTCATTTATAGTAAGTATCACGAGGGATTTTTTGGGACTATGTATCTATAAGCGGAGAGCCCAATAGGTCATTACGACTAGGAAAGGAAGATTTTCATTGCACTATAGGCAAATTCTGCGGTAGCAGGTTGCAACCCGAGTGAAGAGTTCATGAGTCCTCGCCGTGAGCTAGTTATTGACTGGGTTTGATCTATTGGACCACTTCGTCTGTGATCTGAGTTCTGGTCGTCCAGTGGAGTTTCCGCCTGAGGCAGTCATATTATGTCAACATAAAATGTTCGAATTTACCGCCCGCAATAATTCTCACCGCCCGATAAAACTTCCCAAAAAAGTTTCAACTTCCGCAGATTCGAACAAGCAAATGCCTAGTACAATCACGATGAAACGCAAGTTGGACGCAAACGATGTTCCTTCACCCGAGGCTGCCGGGGCTGAGGACCAAGAACTCGACTTCGAAGCCCTCAATCTCGATCCTCGATTGCGCCAGGCCCTGATCAAGGAAAAGTTCACCAAACCCACTCTTGTACAGTCAAAGGCGATTCCGCTCGCCCTGGAAGGAAAGGATATTCTCGGTGAGATGAGTCTTTTGAATTGATGAATCAAAAAGATGACCACTAACAGAAATAGCCCGTGCAAAAACTGGCTCTGGCAAAACTGCCGCCTATGTCCTCCCAATCCTGCAAGCCATCCTCCAGCAGAAGATTGTTTGTTGCCCCTCTCTTGGTGTACTTCGTATAGAAATTAACCTAACCGTCTACTAATAGGCCGATCCCTCCTCAAAAGCCACAACCGCTCTCATCCTTGTCCCCACTCGCGAGCTTGCAGAACAGGTCCAGAAAGTGATTACGTCTTTTGCTAGTTTCTGCGGAAAGGATATTCGATCAGTCAACTTAACACAGAAGGTGTCTGATGAAGTTCAGCGCTCGATGCTGGCCGATTTCCCGGATATCATTGTCTCGACGCCTACCCGAGTGTACAGCAATGTTAACAACTCCGCTTTGACGCTCGATAAAATCACCCATCTGGTTATCGACGAGGCAGATCTGGTCTTATCATACGGATATGACGAGGAAATCAATGCTCTCTCCAAGGCCATCCCGCGAGGAGCGCAGACATTCTTGATGAGTGCTACTCTCACTTCGGAGGTAGATACATTGAAGGACTTGTACTGCCGGAACCCTGTGATTCTTAAGCTAGAAGAGAAGGAGGAGAAAGGTGCTGGTGTCAGCCAGTTTGTTGTCCGGTAATACAATGTGCTACAACCGTGATCTCGGCAGTTGCTAACCCAATTCTCAACAGATGCACGGAGGATGAGAAATTCCTTCTCACATACGTCATCTTCAAACTACAGCTGATTAAGGGCAAGGTCATCATTTTCGTAGCAGATGTGGACCGATGCTACCGCGTGAAGCTCTTCCTCGAACAGTTCGGTCTGAAGAGTTGTGTCCTCAACTCAGAATTGCCCATCAATTCGCGGATTCACGTTGTCGAAGAATTCAACAAGGGTGTCTACGATATCATTGTCGCAGCCGACGAGCAAGAAGTATTGGGAGTGACCAAATCGAAGAAGTCGCGCGAAGTCAAGGAGGCAGATGAAGAAGCAAAGGAAGAAATTGGAAGCAGCGAGGATGAAGAAGCAGTTGATGAGAACGGAAAGGAAAAGAAGCCCGAGGCCAAGAAGCGCCGCAAGATGACCAGCAAAGAGAAGGACTACAGCATCGCCCGCGGCATCGATTTTCAAAACGTTGCCTGCGTCCTCAACTTCGACCTCCCCACCAGCTCCAAATCCTATACCCACCGCATCGGACGTACCGGCCGCGCTGGCAAAGCAGGAATGGCTCTCTCCTTCGTTATCCCCACCGAGCAGTACGGCAAGCACCGACCCACCTCAATCCCCAGCACAAAGCACGACGAAGCCATGCTCGCCAAGATTATCAAGCGGCAAAGCAAGCTCGGCCACGAAGTCAAGCCCTACCACTTCGAGATGACGCAAGTCGACGCCTTCCGATACCGTATGACCGATGCCCTGCGCTCTGTGACCAGACTTGCGGTGCAAGAAGCACGAGGACGCGAGATCCGCCAGGAGCTGATCAAGAGCGAGAAGCTCAAGCGCCATTTCGAAGAGAACCCTGATGAGTTGCGCCAGCTGCGTCACGACGGCGAGCTGCGCGCTGCACGTGTTCAGGCGCATCTCAAGCATGTGCCTGATTACCTGATGCCTGCCAAGGGACGCAAGGGTCTCTCCAAGGAGAGTGTTGGGTTCGTTGGGTTCACGAAATCGAAGCAGAATCGCATCCGCAAGGCGAGAGATCGTAACCGTGCTCGTGGGAAGTCTGGTGGGAAGGTTGATCCCCTGAAGACGTTTAATCGTTCCAAGAAATAGTTTTGCATAGTTTAAAATCTGCGGGCGTTTTGTCCGGATACCATTGTATAGTCAGGCATGAATAAAATAGTTTCAATTTGCATTTCGCATTACATGTCTAGCATGCATTCTGCATGGGGTCAGTGATGTGCAATATTGTCCGTCAATGATTGTGCACTCAGCAGACTTAAAAATAAACCGATAATTCCTGCCCATCCACGGATTTGATCATCTCAATTTCAACGTCTTCCAGTCCTAACCCGAGCTCGATTTCAAGCCATTTCCTCCCCTTCCTTACCTGCCGAATATGCCTCATCACATCACACGCATTTTGAAGGTGGTACGCATGGATAGTAGAGTAAGAGGAGCTTTTGTGCGGGGCGGGTGCTTCATGAGATGGCGCATGAGACGAATCGTGTGACTTCGGCATATCCAGAAACCCAGGGCCGATCCCAAGCCATTCGACATCTCTCCAAGATCCGTTCCACTCTGGGCCAACGGTATCAGGGTTCTGTGGAAACCCATCTGGATCTTTCCCAACCCATGTCAAGGCTGGCAGCCATTCGCCACAGCCCTCGAGATCCAGCCATTTCAGGCAGTATGTCGAACGGGAAAGCTGACGAAGAATGCTCGCAGCTTCAGCCCAATTGTTATCAAGGGCGTCTGGGGTCAAGAAGCGGGCCACTTGGCCTCGAATTCGAGTAGTGACATAGCGTGGATTACGGCATGGCATAGGCCAATGAGCAAGCGAGAGATGAGTGAGGGTTGGCAAATGTGCTACTAGGTTTAGGAGACTGTTCCAGCTTGCAGCATTAGGTGTCGGGTGTGCTAGAGATAGGGCGCGCAGTTCGGGGAAGCGTGGGGTCTGGGTAACGGCCTTGGGAATGGACGGAGTCGGAAGATGATCAAGCATAGCTTCTCCTCTGCCGGTGGGAGCAGCTTCATCCCATGACGCTGGTACAAAATCCTCTATTTCGTCGCTTGGGACACCCATGGCTGGATCTGGCGAGATGGTCATCTCATTTGTGAGCTGCTTCAAAGTTATCCAGTTTCCCAGAGCATTTCCCAAATCCAATCGCTCAATTTTGAAATCCGCATCAACAACTCTCGACTCGTTGAACCCCGGATTTTCCTTGCCAATTTGATCCTGATCCTGCCGGGTCAAAAAGAGCGGCTTCAGCCCCTTCATGTACCCTCTCAGAGACGAGCCTCTTGTATAGACAGCAACGTAACTCAGCAGCAGTTCCTTGAGATAATTTGGAAGCTGGGACAGGAAAGGGCCATCATATTCAACATGCCAACACCAATTGAAAGCCATTGATTTCAGCATCAGGTGTACCAGGCTTCTCTGGTCCGGAAACAGCGGCCCTTGGAGGCGGGTCAGCCGATGGATTTTTTCGAAAGCCCCCGACACCCCGTAATGTAAGTCTTGATCTCCTGCCGATTCTGTGTTTGGAGAGAGCCAACTCGCAGGTGGCGGAGGCCCGACAGTGGGTCGAGATGGACGAACCCCGAATACCGTGCGACGAGGACCGGGGCGAGGTCGTGGCGGCGCGGTTGCAGGGAGCTCAAGCACATCTCGAAGAGATGGATGAACTGAGCGGGGAGCTACGGTTGAGTGCTGAGCACGTTGGGAGCTTGGAGGATCGTCATAGGAAGCACGAGGGGTTTGTGTACGGCGGAGGTGATTGATTAAGTCATTGACTGACGTCGCTGACGCGGAGCCCTGTATCCTAGACCCGCCATCATGACGAGGTCCAGATATTGCAAGGCCGTGATGTGCTAAGTTTGCTGGCTTTGCGTGGAACCGCTGGTGCTTTTTGGGCATCTGCGGTCGAGCTGCGGGTTTGACAAAGTGAAGTGTCTCCGGGATGCTTTCCCGCCTTTATCGGTTATCGTCCCCACTTGATCCTTGCCTGATTTGGTATAGCGCAGGAAGCTGAGGCTTACAAGGCAAGCGGAACGTGCCAGGAGTGAAAAATGCTTATGGAGCACTGCTCGTAGTCAGGCTCAAAATGAGTCAATGCTCGTGACTCATAATAAAATCTATACAGTGTTATACAATATATGCACACAGTCTCAGATATCCCGAACCCAGGAATCGTCCTTCATGTGGCCCTCACGCTTGGCACCTTCCTCCAGCCAGGTATCTACCAGGCCCTCCTTCGGATCCTCATCGGGCAATCCACGCGATCGGCGAACGTCCAAGACAAGGTTCCTGATCTTCAAGGTGACCTCTTTGCGCAGCTCGACAGCTTCTTTGTCATTCAATAGCTCATCACTTAGCACCCCCAGAGGCAGATCTTGGGAATCGGGATAGCTCTTTTCGACCCTAGCTTTCAATTTCTGCCACCGAGATCTCAATTCCCCAAATACAGCATCCGAGTCCACCTTGGAGCCAAAGGTAACGCTAACATTTTTGCCGGGCCGAGGAAGGAAACGCGGGAATTCCCGACTCTCGTGCATGACGTTGTCGAAGCCTTCAATCCACATCGGAACTACATCCGGACATTCTTTGGGCTCTAAGATGAGCCGTGCGATGCCCCACTTGAAATAGCGCATGGTCTTTCGTGGTGACTGGTGAATTTTGCCTTCGGGGAAGATATGGACCCACGAATTCGAGTTGCAGGAGTATGCGGTAGGTGCAAGGTGCGAGTCCTTGCCATCGGTTGTATAGGCGACTGAGAGGTCCGAGAATGGATCGACGCAGACATTGTGCCAGCTCCAGTGCTGGCGTTCAGGTATAGCGCGGTGGTGATCAACGGGGAAAGGTCCCTTCGATAACAGGCGAATAGCCTCGGTCACAGCGGGTTGAGCTAAGCCACCGAATGTAGAATGCGCGGAACGGTGAGTGGGTAGAACCTGTCCCATATTGAAGAAGAGTGATAGTGGTCTACGATCATGGTCAGCAAAACAATCCATGGAAAGAGCGTTCGGGCAGACTTGTAAATACCTTGTCTGAAAACAGATATCGTAGCTTCCAAAAGACCACCGCTGATTCCAAAATCGAGGGGGCAAAATCCCCCATATCAATGGGTCATCCATTCTGGTTTTCCGGCGCAATGTCAGCCATCTTCACGTTTGGAGTATGGATAGTCTCGACCCAAGGCTGTCGGAGGCACGTACACACTGATGTGATTGGACACTATTTTCATATACTTTACTTAGCAACTGCACTAGTCTGATGAACTTTGTTGTGTCTCGGCATACCTGTAATCAAACCTCGAGTCCGTTGCGAAACGTCGTGGCGAGAGTCTAACAGCTCCGTGAATGCTTCTTTTCCGTGACATTCTGCCTTACAGAAAGCCGAAAGGAAACCGCGACATAGACCCGCCACTCCCCACATTGTTGTGTTGGATAGAGCCCTCCAAGGGAGGGACGGAGACTCCGCCGTTGCGCTCGAGTCCATGATGGATAGTGTAAAGCTGCTATGCACAATCCATGAACAAAAGAAAGCTTTACACAAGCTAACGGTAGCTTGGAAAGGAGTTTAATCTCCGAAAAGCAGTGCAATCGACTCGAGTGAAGATTAAGAAAATTATCGCGTCCCTGGAAATCGATATATTGCCGGAATCACATGATTTTGGTTGGGGTAACCATACACAGCAAATCAGCAGGGGCCAGCATGACCATTTTTCAATAATACGACTAGTTTAAATTAGTTTACACAATTGAACTCACTGCCTAGGTCATAATGATTTCCCAGCCTCTCTATATCAACTGTATAAACCAGTAAATAGCTCATTCCACCAGCAACCTTTTTTTATACATCTGGCGCACGGACCAATTACACACCCGACTCCGAGCACGATTTTCTTCCGGCTGCACCCTGACAGCACCACCAACCAACGATGTTCAAATCAACCCAAGCACTGTTTGGCGGTCTTCTTTGGTGCGTTTCAGGTCCTTCGAACAAAGCCCCAATTTTCCGAGCCTAAACTAACATTTCTTCCCGAATTTTAGGAAGACCCCGTGGCGTCTCTCCTCCCCCCAGAAGGCACGACAGCGCAAGCGCCTGCGCTCTGTGGACCGCGTCGTCGACACCGTCAGCGCCGCCCTCGAGCGCAATGGCCAGACCTCCAAGGCTGTGAGCCGGTGGTTTGCGGAGATGCCACGCGAGGAGGAAATGCTGCCGAAGGACAAGTACACTCTGTTCGATAAGAAAGAGAAGAGCTACCGGAAGAGCATTCACAGTATGTTCTCGTCCTAATTCTACATCCCATATTCCCATCAATTGGTACATGTTACTGTGTAGATCAGTTGAGCTTATCACTTTCTTTACTTCCAGAGCTGCCCAAGTGGACTCGTGTCAGCCAACGTGTCAACCCTCCCGGTTTCTAAACGGATTTACGCCCCCGCACATGTACTATACATCCTTAACTCGACTCTAGTGGGGGACTTGTCGGAGCGAAAAACAACATATGGACAACCGGAGTTTTGGCTTTTTGGAATTTGCAGCGCGGCCGCTCTGAAAAGGATGGTGGCTTACAATGCTCCATGATTACCCCAGCGCTTAGATAAGGCTTTCAATTTAAATGCTTTTTGACAAGGATGTTTAATTTTGTTCGGTTCAGGGTTTCCCGGGGTATGCTAATGATATAGATGCAGCGACAGACATGGTGGTAGTGAACGTACGACACCAGAGGTGATGGATATGTTGGGTGTTTCAGTTAAGTGTGCGGTTGGAAGCTTGATTGGGTTACAGGTAGGGCAGAATAAAATGAATACACCGGAGTGATGTCAACGTCCACGGGTTCGAGAAGAATCATGAGACAAGGAGGTTTGAAGCTATTCTTTTCCCGAGATCCGAGGTTAGTATCAATTTTTCGGACGCAGTACGGCAGCACTTATTGACTTGGGCTGCCACTTCTTTGACCTTCCCTCGATTGACTCGGCCTTCGTGGAAGGCTTTGTGGAGGAGATATCCGCGATGGACTTGCTGCCAATCGTCAAGCTTCTCTTGCCAGCCTGCCCCTCCTTCATACCAGGCATTCTTCTGCGCAGTGGACACTTCAAAGCCTTGAGGCGGCTTCGGCAGAGCCCAGCAGCCTGGGTCGATGTGACCATCTGGCGGTTCTTCGGCCGACTCATCATACAGTGTAATAGTGCGAATGGCGTCTCGGATGCCAGATACCTTCCGCTGCTTATTCACTGCGGCCCGCCAGGAGTCGATACGAGGAGTCTGCGCGCGTTTTCTTTTGGATACAGGGTACTTTGGTCTAGGGCTGAAAATCGGTTGTGGATAAGGAACGTTGCATCGTGGGTCTCCCCACATTCGACGTGCATCAGTGGAAACCCTGGACACGGGATCGTAAACAAACCACGTTTCTCTATTCAGCCAGTGGTTGGCTAATAAGGCAAAATGGTATGGTTTTTTCCCTGGGGTGAATTCATTGAAGAGCCATAATAGCTTTCGATCCAGTCTCTCCATCATTCTGATCTCCCAATCATTCAACTTGTCGACAGCGTCTCCTGTTTGGAGCTGGGTTTGATCTGCGGAGCATCGAGCGGCGTTTAATTCCGGTCTTTTCCCTTGACGGAGGGAGAGAGCAGGATGTTTTGGGTCACACATAAATCGCCATTCATCAGACAAAGCTGGTCTCGCTTTGGAATTGGTCCCTGTCCCTTGAACATGACTTCTTGCTGGGGCCGAATTCCATTGGATGATTTTGGTATACGTCCGTCGTTCATTCGAGAAAACAAATTGGTTGTCAACACGAAGTCTGGAAGTGAAAGATGTAAAATCTTCCGAGACATGCAAGCTCCCTTCGGTGCTATTTCGTGGCTGCTTGAGATGATTGCGAATAGAACAGCTCGGGTCCGAGACATAGCTGATCAAACATTCGGTTTTTGGTGTCCCAGGAGGACCGGACGAATCCCCTATATTGCCAAAGACTGCTTCTTTCCGCCCCATCTGCATTCGCGCTGACCATCCACGGTATCTGCGGTGATCGGCATGTCGATGAAGTGGTTTAGGCTCTTTTGTGTGCATCGAGCCACTCGGCTCTGGTAGCTCATATTGAAACTCATCACGTTTTACGACAGATTGAAATTGATATGGGACATTTTGGGATCCCTTACCATGCGACCATGGGATCGATCCTCGGATCTGGTAGGATCGTTTCTGTCGATATGGTAATGATCGGACCTTGTGGAACAGCACCGGTGCGCGGGCCGCTGGCCTTTCTGCATTCTTACAAAAATTAAACCAGGGTTTGTGATCATAATTGCCATCATTTGGCTGCAGAGGGTCCCTGAGAAGCTCCTCTAGAATTGAACAAGTTATAACGGGTGAATTCTTGATCAACGTGGATTGCCGTGGCAGGGTTAATCCCGGTATCTCCTCTTGCGCTTGTGGCCGCCGCATAGAACTTGGCGCTGGAACAGGTTGGGAGATTGAGACACTGTCCTCCAAAGCTCCATGACACTTGAGGTGTGAACAAGAATTCCAGATTTCGTCGGCAGTCGGAGAATCGTCATAGCTCTTGAAGTAATCTGGTAGCCAACGAAATCCTCTCTGTTCTCGACAGTGTTTCTGCTTTTCCACATTACCAGGATCCCACCAAATCCAACTATAGTCGTCCCGAGTCGATCTCCACGTCATTGAGTTCCGAATTTGAGCGAAGAAGTCATGAATCACTTTTTTGTTTCTCTCGTGTGTCGGCCGCGTGACCCAGCCATACCATGTGCGTGCGTATCGGGTGTGCGAGTTTTTACCTGCTCTCAGCACCTTGTTTCGATTAAATCGTCTGATGAAACCCCCAAGCTTCCAAAATAAAACTGCTATTATGAAAATCCCAACAGTTCCGGCGAATAGCTCAAAAAATACCATGGGATCAATTTCCTTATGGACTTTGACTGGTGTGCTTGGAGGTCGTTTTGGGGGACGTGGGATACCAGGAACCAGGGAGTGGCTCTGTCGAGTTGCCAGTGGCGCCATTTAGTGGAAGCCTGGGTGTACTCTCCAGGAAATAGTCCAGGACTCATTAAAGATATAGCGAACAAAATGTTGTCAAGACGGTTTTCTCACACTGTACAAATGAGAGAGGTTGGAGAGATGAGGAAGCAGTCACAGACGAAACTTCCCTGCCCTCTTTAACTTTGTGTTATCATAACCATCTTTCTTTGGAATGTTGTAATGGTAAATACTACCAGACCGTCGCGAAAATTTCGATAATGCTTGAGATTCCACATCTATCTCGAGCTATTTGCGGGGCATCCAAATCACGACCCATCAAGACCAAGCAAGAGCGTTAAGATTTGCTATGAAATGTAAGAAACGCAGTCTGGGTCAGGCTCTGGGATTGAGCCAAATCGCACGGAATGAATCACATTTGGCCTGTATCCTGGTGGCCGTGAATACCATCTTATTCTGAGGCTAGCAACCAACGAATTTTAGAAGAATGAAAAGACCATCAACACCTATGCGCTTCTTTGTGGGGATATGTCAATCTAGGGCCACATGATTCCTCATACTGTGATCAAAGCCTCTAACTCGCCAGACTCGACTTCCGTTCCCGGCTGTGATCAATGAAGTTAAAAGAGGAGTTTTTTGTGTGAGCACATAATGTTTCAGGGTTCGCATGGGATACAATGTAGTGGTTGCTCTCCACCATAGACTCCCATCGATCAGTTATGGAAATGGTTGCAGTTCGAGTGAAAATGTTGCATAAATCAGGATCTCTGGTGTGATGTACCTTCTACAAACCACTAGTGATTGGATATCGAAACCATCTATCGAGATAAGTTATTTGACTCACAGTTATGCGTAGCTCAAGGCATCAGGACATTTTCATCTCTTTACCGCCTCTTCTAGTACCCCTAGAAATATAGACAGATACTCTTGGATGACAACTACCTAAGCGGGGACTCTGTCAAAGCTCCAAATTCTCATATTAAAATGACATATCAGACTCAATTTCACATGCTAGTCTTGTGCATTTTGAAGATCGGAAAGACTAATCTCAAATGAATTAATTCGATGATTAGCGATCCGAGTGCGGAACTCTTGAGTCTGGTTCGATGTGCACCTGCCCAATTAGGAAAGGACCTGGCCCATAGCCACACCGATTCAGCCACTCCTTGCAGATCTAGCCACAAATCAGCCACGCTCAAGCCACCTACAGCTGATGTGGTGGCGGTGCAGACTATTAGCGTTCGATAGAAGGTTGCGTCTTTGTGTTGCTTTGTTTTCCTGTTTGTTGGGCGTCTGGTTTTGCATATTCGTGGGGCATTATTTTTCACAGTTCTGATTAGATTTATTTTCAGGTTGAGTTGATGATTAGCTTTCTCTTCTGATCAGTGTCTCCCAGCTACCTCACTTCCCAGCACTTGACATCAGTCTGCTCAATTTTATTCTGCATGCGCCTGCGTCACATTCTTCTACCCAGCGGGTCTTGGACCGCCAAAAGCAAAGAATACCCCATTTTCTGGTATTTCTGGTATGGTAAGTGTCGTGCGTCGACAGATTTAAATTATTGATGAGATCGTCAGGACGATCGCACAGTCCTTGAAGGATTCGAGAGGGGACACAGAGATAGTTCAAGCTTCGTATAGAGTTTATTTCGAGTCCCATGCACATTACATCCCAGCTCATAGCCGAGTCATGGCCGACCCAGTGAGGCTGATCATTGATCATGTATTTGGTGAGAAGGGTTACTTCAGCTATCACACTGTCAATGCCTTAATGCAACAGGCCTTTTTTCTATCCCATTTGGGTAATGTTACTAGAGGATGGAATCCGATCTGTTTTGAACTCAGACCAGACTACTTCTCATGGTACAAGACTGGCTTTGAAGGGGGAGAAGTCGGGGTTTCCAAGTGACGAATACAGTGACCGCTTGACTCCACAAACGCCACAGTTCACCGTTAGGGTGTGGCTTGAATTTTCTGGGCAAAGGGGCTAGACAAAGCCTGTAGTTGCGGTCTGATGTATTCCTTTCATCTGACTCGGGAATTATGTCCAACTAGGTCCAGATAGGGATACCTCCACAAGAAACCTGAGATACTTGGATACTAGTGGTGCGCCACATCGAACAAGAAAGCACACTTGCGACTCAACAGATGTTGGCAGCAGAATGACAAAGTACCAACCCTGCGATAGGGACCACACAACGTTCAGCATGAGCCTGCTACTTGATCCGTGCATGAAACTATTGAAAGGGTAGGCCATCAAGACATTGTGTCTCAATTCGCAACTCTTATCTTCATACATGAACGTTAGATCTGCGCGCCAGGCGGTTTTCCTTTCAAACTGTTCAGGTTCGCGTAGGCAACTTCGGGTCGGTCAGGGTTAGTGGGCGAAATTGCTTAGCCAGAAGCTCCAAGTTGTACAGATCAAAAGGTGGAATCCCTGTCGTGAAGGAACCTGGGGTCCATCATGACACTAGCTTCAGATTTCATGCAGTGCATGTTCAATCTCACAGATCTCTTACCTGCTCCACACCTGATGTTATGCTAGGACGCGTATCCGTCGATCAGCTAAACCGGGAACGAAGTACAATCAAGTCCGCACTCGCCCCACTGTTCGATTCTGTTGCTGGAACGTGCTGCTGTAAGGATTCTGCTATATGCCGAGCAGACCTATCATTAGGCTCACAAATATCGGTTCTGCAGGCATGGTAGCTCCCTTACCCGTCCCAGGTACCTGGTCACCGACCATTGCCCAGGCTGATCGTGTACTTTTGGATGGTGGCGATATTCCCGTGGGCTTACCACACAATTGAGGTTATGGGTCCAAAGTATGTCTGTGATTGAATCTCGGCGAGCGCGATGAGGTATATGAAGCCCTAGGCACAGCCATGTTTGTGCTTGACCTGATTCTCGTATCCGTCCATCTCCTCCATCATTGTTCCTATTATTACTGCCTTTCCTACATCCAAGTCATTAGGAATTATACTTCACAGTCATAGTTCTACAATCTCTCCACTTCAAGTGCTCCTCGATTTGATTGAAGCTGATCTTCGATCTTCTAAACTCTTTTCCTCTCCAAAAGTGATTCAACACAACTCGTCTGTTTCCAAGGGCCATACCGTCGAACAAAAACGAAGATGACCGGCCGTGAATTCACACTGTCCTTCGAGACTACTCCCCCAACAGCCGTCCGACCCGATTGCCCCTTCACAATCCCAGTAGTGATTGCCGTGAGTCCAATCGGAACACCGGCGCAAAATGTGCAGCACCTTGTCGTGAGCGCCTCCCTCCGCGACGAGGCCGGCACAGGACCCGCCGTTGGCTTGAGCGGGAATCTCACAGCGAGCGTGCGGAGCCGAACCGATAACGCAATGAACGGGTACGCAAAACTCAGCCCACTCAGTATCTCGCATCCGGGCAAGTTCCGGCTGCGGGTGATGCTTAGTGCAGCTTCGTACAACGGCGTTGTAACGAAGGAGTGTGTTGATTCGACGGTCATCCATGTGTACGCCGGTGCAGCTGCCCAACGGCCAAGTGGGTCAATCCCCTTCCCTCCTTTCGTTTTTGCTTTGTTCCGGATTTCCCTTTCCCCATTTCTCTTCTTCTTTCACGTTCTTTTCGTATCGGCCCCTCTTCACCCCATGACGTTATCCCCTTTCCGGTCAACATTTAGCCCCTCATGCTCACCCCTTTGGGACTCTTGCTGATGCTGAAAAACTCTAGCTCCCACTCAGGTGGCACGACTTCAACGGCTCACAACTGAAAATTTAGATATCTCCGCTGCGGATATTGCAGCGTGGCAGTGCGCGTGACTGAAGGACATATCGTGTTCTTCGTATTCCTGGAGTTCGAGATCTCCAGGAGTTGTTCATGTTTACCTGTACCCGAACGTTGACAAGGTTTTTGGTTTTCTTGCATTTTGATTCATGCCATGGGGAGGGGGAGAATAAGAAGTCTCTTTAAAATAATTCCGAGCATGTCAGCTATATCTACTTTTTTTTTCTCGAACAATTTTTGCATGCATACTCCCCAATTCATCGTTTTTAGCGCCCCTTACCCCTGGTCTCGGGTGAGTTTTCCTATATTCCGCATCTGTTAGCGCGTACACTAACTGAAGCCGACCCAAATGTTAATTTATGTTGCATGCAGAGTTTTTAACTAGATGTAGATACAATTCGCGATTTAGAACAGATCATGATGGTCTTCCATTAATTCACGTTGAGTCACGTTACCGGAATCGGTCCAAGATCCTTCCTAGGCATACTTATGAGCAAACCCCGAGCTATAATCCCACAGCCTCCGCGGTTCTTCCCTGGGTCATTATGACCAATTGAAAGGGGATGCTCGTTTCGATGGAATTAAGTACAACTACTATTCCGATTGTCCTAATTTTTCCCTTCGTGTGATGCCTTGCAAGAGAAAGCGTTCCAATACATTATCCTGCATTAACTTCAAATCCGCGCTTGAGATATCCGAAGAACACATGAATGAATTCGGTGGAATCCATTAAATCAATGGAAACTACTCCGTAGTGACGCTACTGTTTAGCTTCATTTATTTACGGGCTTTGCCTGAAAGTACTAAGAAGCGGGGCTAATGCACTTGAATTCTTTGTATTGAGTCTCGTGCACGGAGTCCACTGTGGGTAATTGATTCTCTAAGCAACGAGACTTAGTCTCTTCTCCTCCCCATACATGACGAGTGAAACAAAAGATATCAAGAGAAAAAGGCCGGGACCCATAAAAATTAGACAACTTGTCCGGTCCACACCTCCGGATGTTGATTCCCTGTCTACTCCCGTATCCCCGCTAGATGCCCACTCGACAGATCGATATCCTAATCCAGTGAAGTAAGATCCTTGTACTTATTAGTGGCCAATGATCATTTTGTGTTTGAGCTTTTCGCCAGCACCTACCCCAGTGCGCGCTAGACATAATTAGATCCTCTTCAATCGGAAAATTTTCTATTCGAAACAACCTTGGAAGACAACAGCCAAATCCCCACCATCTACCCCACTCCCACCTGAGTCGGATGACTAGGTTTTTATTTTTTGTATTGCAGCACTATATGACGACTCCTCTTTCATTGTGTGGGTTGCTCTTATCACAAAGTACAACATACGAAAAACTTAGCTCACCTAAGCGCATTAACGAGGTTCGGGTTACCCACAAAGGTCATCTCTCGGACTATCAAGAAGATAGCCATCAAAGATCACTTGAATTTAGAGTCTTTTCAGTCTTGCGATGAAGAATAGCGCTGGTTTCTTGTCGGGCCACTATTGTCATGGGAAAATCTGCCGTCCTCCGAACCATATCAGGCTAGGAGGTTCTTCTCTTAGGCTACAAGGCAAGAGATTCAATTTCAAAATTAGAAATTCCTTACAGATATGATCTTCGTGCAAAAGGCTTAACATAACACTTACACAGGTTCAGTCTTTCTTTCCCGTCTATGTTTCCTCATTGATCTGCTGGCAACGCCCGATTCTCGAAATGCCAGATTCCTGACAGTTAAGTATCTACAACATATGTGCCCTGGGCATCGTCACTCGTCGATGAATTTTTGGTCGCTCGTCAAAGCCTCTAGATAAATTGTATTCTGCGCGTGCAAGCTACCTCATTAAATTGCGCGCATTCAAAAAGCTGGGCAATGGCCCCGCAGCCGATATTTCACTCTCTTTTCAACCAACCATGACGGCTTCCTTCAGCACAAAGGAGTTTTTTGGGGGGAGATGGTATGGGAATGCCAGAACTTTCCCATCAATCAAAACAAACACCTTACCTTTGGTGCAGGACGTTCATCGAAGGACGAAGTGATCAGAGCTCAGTGTCGGGGTCATCGGGGCAGTCGAAACAGGTTTACAGGGGTGTTTTGCGTCTGTTGACCCGTCGGCCACCCTTGAGAAAGTCTCGCTCTTCATTTGTCGTCCCTTCAAAGATGAGATCTGGTGGAAACCGAGCGCTACATTGTGGACACTTTAGGAGCCCGAAGAATGATCTGTGCTGGTTATATTGTTAGGACTGTTTTTGCTGACATTGCGTTGTAATCGTTATTTGGAGATGTGACTCCATTGATGGAGTAAATTCGGGAAAGATGATCTGAGGAATCAGAAAGGAATTCTGTGTTATTGGTGTCCGCTGACAAGCCAAATACCCAGTTAGGTACTGCTAAAGATCTAAATCTCATCCTCTCAATTTTACAAAATTGACACTAGTGCTTTCGGCTCATCAACACTTTGCATTGACGATCCTCGAGAATCCGCTCGAGTTCAAAGAGGCATAAAATAACTATAGAAACGCTGCAATCTGATTATCACAATACTGTACAAAGGCCGCTGCAACCCCAGTGCCCCCTTTTTCTTTTCCTTTCATGGCTCGCAACAAATCTTCTCTTGGACACGGATGTATACGCCCCCAGGGCAGGATATACTTTCCCCCATCATCAAGTTTGAGATCACTCGCAAAAGCTGACCAGATTCCAGTATATGCCCCAAATCTAGGGACATAAAGAAATGGCCCAAGCATAAATGGAACAAAAGCCTGACTGTGGCGCATGATGTTGGTCTTGATATTCCCTGGGTTCTGCACCAAGCTTAATATCCCATCCCCACTGACCTGGTTGGCGAAGGCATCTGCCAAAAACCAATTTCCCACTTTGGTGTTTAGATAATTGCGTGATTTGCCGGCATCTTCTTGAACCAGTTCTGCAAGCTCTATGCCGGTCCCAAGCACGAATGCATCGACAACTATCGATGCTGTCCAGATAACCCGTACACTGGCGAGGGGTGTGATTCGAGCCGTGCCCCGTAGTATGGGCAAGAGAAGCTGGGAGAAAAGATGCGGGCCGAGACAATTGGTTGCCAATTGCATATCGTGGCCCTGGGGCGAAGTCCCTTGAGGAGGGTTAGAGACACCAGCGTTATTGAATAAAACATCCAGACGAGATTCAGCTGCGGTAAATCTCTTCACTGCAGGCTTGATGGTTCTCAGATCGTCTAGCGATAGAGGGAGAAAAATGATGTTTCCCTCTTGGGAGTTCGGGGGACACAAGCTTTTGATCTTCGCCATCGCGTCCAGTGCCTTTTCTTCAGACCGACCGGCGAGATAGACCGTTCCTCCTACGTGAAAAAGAATTCTGCATAGTTCAAGGCCAACTCCCGAATAGCCTCCAGTTACAATGAAGACTTTGCCTTTTTGACTGGGGAGATTAGCTTCTGTTAGAGTAGGAGGGGGCGGGAAAATTTGCGACCAGGTGACTCCCATACTGTTGAAAGATTGAACTCTCTAATCCATGAAAGCTGGAGCTGATGTGAAAAATTCAGTAGAAATAAAGACAAAGTCCCATTCCCCACCGAACCTCTTGCTCCGTTTTGCCCGGGATATTCACCGAAGAGAGAGACAGATACCACCTCGTATGTGTAAGGTCCATATATTGACAACTTGCTTGCTCTAAAATCCGCGTACATGGCTCGTTAAGTCCCGGAATCATCCTACTTATGAGGAGAACTCTTGTTAAAAGTCTCCCACTTTGCACACGTTGTATCAAAATCAGCCGAAACAGAGGCAATCAGCTCCGGTATCTCCGACTGGTGCTCTACAAAAGTGCTGTGCTGAACTCTGAGGCTCCTGTGCCAGGCAAAATGGCAATCTAATAAGCTAAGATCTAAAGTCCTATTGGTAAGTTCGCAAGAAGACTTTGGAAAGATCCGCATCAGAGAAAGAACGTGGAAGCCACACATCTCTCCTAACTGGCAAGTGCTTACCGAGGGTGACGCTCAATACTGGAGAGGAGCAGCAGATAAAGCTGGAGACTTTAGCGATATCATCGTGTGGTTCTGGGCCTTCGGGAACCAAGCTGAATCTATGACCGATCCATAAACAGGTTTCAATAAAGCACAGGTGAGAGAATCCAGAATCCCCGGCTTCAAGGCTTCGTTCATGTTTGACCTGTGTACTCACTAGTTAAGGGAATATAAAGATAGCCTTGCAGTTTCATCGACGTACAAATATCGTCATCACTGGCCTTCTAGCGATGACGCCAACCCTTGGAACTCTCTGTCCGAATTTGAGACAGCCAAGGTCCTCATTCAGAGCTCATCGGCCATTCTGACCAACTTCTAGACACACAAATAGACAGATTCACATGGACATCCAACACATAAAACGGCGATTTAGTAGAGTTACCTCCACCTCCATCTTTTGTGGACCTAACATCGTGCCAGATCAGACAGTCACTCCATGCCCAAAGGTCAATTCTGATGAAAGGTCAAACCCGAATGTTCTCCATCAACTCATCTATAGCCGCTGAAATTATTGCCATTGCTACTGCCAGTGCTATCAGCACCTGTACTCACCTCCAAAGTGGCACCATCGCCTTATCTGGCCACTTTCTCGAGGTCCCTGCTTCTATACTGGCGAGGTCAATGTTTGCCCTTGCTTCAGTATCAAATTTCCAGATTTACGTCACTAGATTGATATGGTTAAATCAAGAGAAGACCGGCTACCGGGATCCCGAAAAATCTCACGACTGCCAGATGTTCCACGATCTGAGATTGAGCGATGTGCGCGACCACGTGGGCCATTCTTGTGACTTCACTCAGCATCCTCTTCTCAAAATTCAAATGATGACGATACTTTGGATCGATGACCCCACCCCGCCTCTGCGTGTACTGACTAGTTATGCAATACGTGGATCGAAATGTGTTTTACCGCAAATTCCGAGAAAACCAAAAGCTCTTGCAGAGAGGGATATAGCGAAGGGGCTCAGAAAGATCTTTGCTGACGCTGGCTCTGCCTTTTCCGGTTGGCACAAAAAAACAGCTATTTCCTGGTATCTTTGAGCAACTCTGAAATGTCTACAGGTCACGACCTTACTCTTTTGGAAATAACCATCTCGCGGAACCTAGGAGATGGCAAATGGCCCGGCAAACAGTGGAAGGTCAATGTCCACTCCTAAAGTCGTGTGCTTGGGCTAGAGACGTATTTCAACGGGCTACTGTCGCATTTAAACCACCCCGAATCTTTTGCTCGAGAAATCGGATTCGTATTTTGATGTTTGTGTTTCTATCCAATGGCTTGACTTTGGTACCTGCTTTTTCCTTCTTTCGGGGATGAGTGAATATTTGTCAAGCTAGTTGTATGGATTAGAGACAGTCGTCTAGAAAGAGATAGACCTCTACATAAAGCTCCCCTTCCCCCCTTCCTCCATCCTAGCATGTCCTTCAAGGTAAGCGATGTCAACAACAAGCTGTAGTTCCTCGCCTACTAAGAACGCAACTTTTGCCCGGTGCTACTTGAGTAATCAAAATTAGAGGTTTGAACGACCCAGTTCGTCTCGAGGGATGGAAGGCCTGCACCACTACTAAAACGACAGGATAAGATGAGAGCATGTCGTGTAACGCTGTGTATAACCGGCCACAAATCTCTCAAGTGTGACCCTCTCCAGCCCAGTAGATATCATTTTAACCCCACTTGAATGAGTCAAGTTAACATGCAGCCAATTCCCCTCAACTACTCCGTACACTGTCCTGGCATGTACTAGCTTGGCTGACGGAATTATGCGAGCCAGATGACTCAGACATCTCTGTCAAGTCTCTCGGTCAGCACGGCATTCTGGAAGGACGCTAGAAGGGGAGTGAGGTGGGTTTGATTGGCGGTAAGAAAAATGGATTGATCACGAGCACGTCTGATTAAGGCTTCGGTATTTCAATTTCTTGTTGAAGTGGTGTCAATACCAAGTGGAATCAGGTATGAAAGACTTTCAGGTATCTTGACTTTGTATACGTTGATGTATATTCCGAAAAGGACAGACGGTAGCCGGGTCATGGCAAATACAGGATGTGGGAAGCAAACAAAGCCCAGACGTGTCAAGACGGTCAAGATGCGGTGAATCCGAGGGGTCCGAGGGTTGAGAGGAGGAGGCTCCAAGACAGATACCAGTGCTGATTGGCAGGCGATGGGGCATTTTTGCCCCTCGGAACCTCCGAACCTCACCGACAACAAAAGATCACGCTAAACCTTACCAGTGGATCTTTCAACTTCTTTCAATCGAAGGTTGTTGGCTGGAATGCAGACGGGTCTATTACCCAGCCATGTGATTGGCTGTGTCTTTCCTGGCGTTCGGTTTTCCGTGTTTAGCGACATCATAGCGACAATGTTGTACTTTGTGTTGCATTTTGGTTGGTTGCCCTATGGGAAGCCCCCACGATCCTAATTGGGAAAAGACTGGGTTACCTAGGTGTCAAATATAAATGAACCCATCCCGCAGGCTTCTTGATTACTATCTCTCATCCTCTACTTCACATCCCAAGTGATGCACACTCAATCCAACCTCTATCGCAAGAGATCGCTCTCCGAAACATCAGCTACATCAACCTCCTCTCACACCAGTCAGTTCTCCCAAGAGAAGAAGCGCTCCAGATTGTCGAAGTCCCTCTTGTATCTCTTCCGATCCAAGTCTCCTGTGCCGATTGATAACCCCCACCGCCACGAAAACAAGATGTCACCGTCTCGGAACATCCCACGGAGAAATCACAAAGCTGCATACTTCCTGGATCAACACTACACCTCAACCAGCCCCACCCAAATGTCTATCAGCATGGGTTCGTCGACGGTGGACATCCCTAAACGTGCATCTACCCCCACCCGCAAGAACAGCGGCAACTACAAACGCTACAATGGTACTGTCAACCACTATGGTCGCCACTCCAACGACTGGCTATTCGGTGGCTTCAGTGTTCGGGAGACTGTTCGAGATAGCCTCGAAAAGCTCCGCGGCCAGGACAAGGAGAGCTGAATGAACGCTCCTGTTCTGCAATCTTGAACTTGTCCAACATGTGGAAAAACTCTTGGATACACTCTGTCCTGCTTACCCCATGGTTTACATCCATCTTTTGATGACACCCACCCCGACCGTTCGGCGAGGATCGATCTCTGATCCGCTTAGATTTGAACGCTGTTTTGCTTCAAGGTCCTGAAAACGAGTGTGGTCCGCCCTATAGGGGCGTGACTGTATTCGGGCATCAATCACCGCGTCCGCTATGCGCGCATAAATCAATCATCTATGACTCTATCTCGTTTTCAGCTCGATCTCAGCCCTCAATCTATGTGGCTGCCCGGTACATGCATTGTGCCAGTCGCTGCTTTTGTTCTCCGGGTCTTGGAAGTTTGATCACTCCCATATAATTTCTATAATTGTGTTGGATTAGATATCTCATTTTGCACCCGATTGGGTTGTCTCCCGTTATACAGTCGATTCAATTTAAACGCGGGCCAAACTCAATCTCTAATTGGTCTCTTATCAGCTGAAGTTTCCGTAAATCGAATCGTGGCAATTTGAATGACATACGTAGTTTGGAAGCTAAGGTCTAACACTCCAGGCTTCTCCTGTGGAAAGAGCTGGTTCTACATAATGAACTTTCGGACGACTCGGGCACTTGGGCACTTGGGCACACGGGCCTCTAGGCAGCAAGGTATCAAGGCAGCGAGGCCTTGCTTGCTTACCAGAAGAGAAGTTAGTCAGACCTCCCTCTTTCTAGAACTAAGTTGATTGCTCTATGACAGAGTAGATCATTCTCTGCGTTCGTTTCTATTGATCATCTTCTTGCCTTCTCTGTTGAGACATAGCTAGGTACGTATTTCCATCAGTTTCCATAGCGTTACGATGCTGAGCTGGATGTTTTCTATTTTTAGCTGATTGAATCCTAGTAACAGAGCCCAGAATCAAGGAAGTCAGCACTAGCAAGAGGTTTTTCCAACTGATATTGGGCCATCTATACTTCCTCGGTGGCCCCGCCTGGGCATAGAGCTAGGCCTCTTTACCCGGCCTTTACATCCTCTCCCCTTTCCCCATCTGCCTCGCAGTTATCTTAACCTCGCACAAACCCCGTATTTTACCAAAGCTCACCAGCATATTCGCACTTTGATGATTTAAGATCCACCGCGTCCCACGCCGAAAGCCGAAATACGTCTGGCTCAAGCTGCTGCGGAGTTTGAGGCCGATCGGCATGGAGAACAGAAAGCAGCTTTTCGGGCCAATACCAATAAAGCTAGGAGAACAAAATCGTTACCGAATGCTCAAGATGTCATGTGCCTTGTTATGCAGTGATGAAGTGAGCAGAATTGAACGTCTGTGTGACGTAGCCAATATTTGAGCAGAGGGTGATGATCTATATATAATTATGTGATTAACTTCGTAGATGTCTGGGTCAAAACACAACCCATTTATGTCGGTATAACTTGAACCAGTGGACCACTAGGGCAATTTCAGATTGGTTGTCTGGTCCTTAAATTGTTCTCGATAAGGGAATCATTGGGACTCGATGGAATACTGGTGTTCAAGTAAAGAGAACAACGTCCAAAATTGAGCTGTTTGTGCAGTTTGCTCTTATACCCCAATTAGCCTATAGTTTTCATCAACCAGCCAAGTGGCCGAGCAGTAACTCGACCATCGCATCTTCCTTGGTCTAGTGGTGATGATTTCCGCTTGTCATTAAAACCGATAAGCGCGGGAGACCGGGGTTCGATTCCCCGAGGGAGAGATTTCTTTTTTGCACCTGTTTTTTTCGTCTAGACTTGTTCCAATTCTATTTTTGACTCCACAAAACAGTAGAACAAACCCCTAAGAAAACCTGAGAATGAATTCCTTGTTTCTATTAATATAGGACTGACCCAACTAGTTACTAGATAGTGCCGACTACATTGCCGACCTGTAATGATGGGGAACGAACATCAATTTCTGTAGCCAAGGAAGAAAAGCCTTAAATCGCTCCTGATCCACATTTCTTCAGGCAGATATGCGCGATGTGAGATATTGTGAGAAACTAAACGGCGAGGCTCGGTAATTTGGGTCGGTTTTCGCCACGGGAGCCTAGATGAGGCTAAAGGTACGAAATTTATTTAAGAGATAATGTCTCCCATTTGGGGAGTCGAGTCCCATTTTACCGTCAAAAAACCATGGACTTCCTGACTTCTCTCCATAGAACAATGCCTGGATTGTTCGAGGGCAGTGAGATATCCCCCGAGCCGGAAAAGCCCCTGTCTCCGCTCCATGCGGCAGTTGATGCTGAAGATGTGGACCAGGTGCGCCAATTGGCTGTCATTGCGGACCCTGTCGATTTAACTACCGCTCTAAGTCGATCCTGCCAACGCGGTAAAATAACCAGCGCCCAGGCCCTGCTTGAGACGGGGCGATGTGATGTCAACGCGCTGGTGGAGGGAGACACGCTTTTATTCTTGGCAGCGAAAAAAGCCGACTTGGTAATAGTCAGACTCCTGCTTCAGCATGGTGCCGATGCCACAATCAGATCCAAGAACAAGCGGTCCGGAGACAATCCCCCGGCATTCACACCCCTTCACGGAGTGGCGGACAGCACGCGTCCTTATGAAAAGTTGGAAGACCTGCCCCGCTACGAAGAACTGATGCAGCTGCTGCTGGACGCTGGGTGCGACATCAATGCACAAGATGCCCATGGAAATACCGCACTGCTGCTCTCCGTACACAATGAGATCGCCCTGGTCCCATTTCTTCTACGACATGGCGCGGACCCGAATATCGCAGAGGACCGGGGAGGCACCTCCGCCCATTTCCTCCACCATCCCCTAGACCACCCAGAGTGGTTCAAAGGCCTTATGGCGAATGGAGCCCGCCTGAACATTGTTCGAGATGGAGATGGTCAAACCCCGCTGCATGCCTATGCGTCTAAATGCCAGCTGGGTGATCTCTCGCTATTCCGTTCATACGTGTCGGATTGGATGATCACCGACGGAAATGGCAACACTATTCTTCATACCGCCGTCGCGAGACATCTTCTCGGGAGCAAAACTATAGGGGAACTGCTGAAGCTTGGAATTGATCCGAACCAGAGGAACCATGAAGGGCAGCAGCCAATTCACATGGTCGAGGGCTCTGAACACGATGTCAAGGATGTTTTGGACATTCTCTGTGCAGCCGGTGCAGATCTCGAGGCTAGAGATTATCGTGGATGTACGCTTCTCACCAAGGCCTTGCATGGCACCCCGCAGTGGAATTGTCGCGAAATTCTTCCCTACCTCATCAGCCGCGGAGCCAAAATCAACGCCCAAGACTACAAAGGCAATGGGGTGCTATCATATTTGATCGAACCATACCGTTTTCGATACGAGTACTTGGACTTTTTACTGTCCCTTGGAGCAGATCCAAAAATGGTAAACTACGAAGGAGATACATTCATGCATCATCTCGCAGCCAATTTTGCTACTGTCAGCCAAGATAATGCTCTTTTGGCCATGATTCAACTCATCAAAATGGGTGTCTCTCCGACAACTCCTAATTTCCGAGGCTGGACGCCTCTGCATATGTTATGCAGTCAGTCTTCAGACTATTTGTTTGCGGCGACCGCAGAGGGAGGCAAGTCTGCTATTGACCTACTCCTAGATGCGGGTCTTGGTGTTGCTTTAAACATGAGTGACCACCAGGGAATTAGGCCTATCCACCTCGCGGCCACGATTTCAGAGCACCTGGTCTGTAAATTACTCGCTCGCGGGGCTGATGCTTCTGTTTCAACAAAGGATGGCCGCAATCTGTTGCATATTGCGTCAACTGCACGCCAAAGTAACTGCGTTGGGCTGATTCTGGCCCATTGCGACTCCAAGGAGCTGGTCTCAATGCTCAATGCACGCTCAGAAGATGGAAGAACGCCGTTGCATGTGGCATGTCGCTCTGGAAGACTGGAGACGGTGAACCTTCTCCTCGCATATGGAGCAGATGTCAACTTCGAAGACAAGCATAATCGTACCGCTCTAGATACATGTGCCGAATCCATTGCCGAAGATCAGCTCTGGCAGGGGGTCGATGATCAGGAAAATTTGATGAAAACGTGCTCTGCGGCAGGGGTTTTGGTAGAAGACAACAACCGGCCAAAACAGCCTAAATTGAATATGAAAACGCCGTGCAACAACACCAAAAGCTTAGGGTGGAAAGGAGAAATCACATCGGAAAGTTCGACACTCGGAGTTGGACGAATCGTGCGAGCATTGGCGTTTCATGGAGCCTTGGCATGCGAAAAGAAGTTCGGCACTGGTCCCATGTATTCTGCGGTTGCCGAGGGAAACGAGGAAATGGTCGTGGAACTAGACCGGCTATCACGAGAAATGAGCATTGGGATGGATGATTTCCGCCCCGTCAATACTGAGTTCTATCTGCTGCGCTCTCAGCACTTCCCAGACCTTCTCAGGGAGAAATTCAAGGAGTATGTTTCTGAACACAATGTGCTCCCAATGATCTTGCTTGGCTACCACCAAGAGGTTGCACAGGCTCTGGAGCAGAACGCTTCTATTATCGAGGATAAATCCTCTATGCCAGCAATCATGGCCTCGCTCGCGAGGTGGGGCTTTTCGGAACTCTTTGGCCGGATCGGCAGCACTATGACTGGCAACTGGATTAACGGTGGCGACACCAGTCTCCGTGGAGAAAAACTGACTCCGTATCTTCTAGCAGCTGGCCAGCGAGATCTTCCCAATCTGGATGTTATCCAGGTCATAGTCGAGAAGTTCAACGCGGATGTTAATATCAGATTTGAAGCAGACATGGTCGACAAACCCAAGGTGTACTACCAATCAACGATGGCACTGAACCGGCATTACAAACCAGGTGACACAATTCTTCATCAACTGGCCCAAGGTACGCACTGGTGGCATGAAGGAGCCATTCGATACCTCCTAGAACATGGAGCCGACCCCAATACCCGAAATCATCAGGGCAAGACGCCATTATGCAATGCAGTTTCACGGGGAGAACTGGGCGGCTACCGCCAGCTTGAAATCGCCAGAATCTTGCTGGAGGGCGGTGCCGATCCCAACATCCCTGCGACGTGTGGTTATACTCCGCTAGCAATGTCCGCGCATGACACCAAATTGTTCGACTTGCTGATCGAACATGGAGCATATCCCTCTCCAGATCACCCCATGGAACTTTTTGTTGCATTGTATAGTTTCAACAAAGACGTTGTCTCCGCTCTTTTGGAAATGGACCTGGACTGCAACAAGACGGCATTATCCGATGCACAGCCACATTGGCACACCCACCGTTTCCAAAAGGTTCCTGTAAACAGCGGGCTCATCCTGAGTCCTCTTCTGTACATCTCAATGCTACCATTCAACGAATCAAATAGCCGCGACCACGCCTGCAAGATGATTCGATTCCTACTAGAACGCGGTGCAGATCCATTTCTGCCTTGCGACGCGAATGAACTGGTTCTGCACCAGATTTTTGCTTCTGGAGGAATCATTCAACCATGGCTTGAGATGCCCAACCTGGACCTAACACGACGTGACCCGAAAGGAAGAACGCTGCTGCTGGCAGCGGCGAGCTGTGCGACTGGAACTGAATCGTATGCTTGCACAGTCTCGGCGTATCCACTCCGAGGTGGACAGCTTGGACCGGTGTCCTGGAAGGAGGGTGACCCCACGCGTGCAATGACCCTGTTTGAACGGGGAGCGGATTTGAGCGCTATAGATTACGACAACAATAATGTGCTACATTATCTGGCAGACGTTGACTGCTCCAATGATCACTTCGCGTCGATTGAAGTTCGACGGACATTGTCCTTGTTCGTGGATAAAGCCCCTGGGTTGGCACGCCAGACCAATGTGCATGGTCAGACGCCCTGGTCAATTGCCGCGGAGAAGAATTTCGTAGAGTTCATGGAGATTTTGCATACGGATAATATGCTCACGGAATGATGGTGCGAGGGTGCCATTTTTTTGATTTGGCTACCGAGAAGGGATTTGAGTAATCGTTGTCCTGAGCTGGTTATGCAAGCTGGCTATGTACGTTGTCATGGTTGTTTCGTCCAAGGCGATGACAGGTGAGCCCAAAGTTGACTCTATAGATGTTCTTTGATATGGTTAAAGTAATCACATGCTATACAAGAAAGCTCACTTCACACCTTTTGTAGTGCCTTTTTCGTTCTACACTTGTGGCTAATTTTTCTTATCATCCTAGCCACAACACCAACAAGGGGGGTTATATCTTAAACGAGACCTCTGAGAAGACCCCGAAAAAGATTCCGATAAAGAATTAGAAACAGAATACCAAACAGGAATAAAATGATCAGTGGACAAATGTGCTGCCGCCTTTTAATTCACATCTTTTCGGAACTGGAAATCCCATTCAAGGCGTGCAGTTTGTTCCTTGTCTGTTTCGGTAAGAACATGATCGTTCTATGTGCCTTTTTCCCGTGAAGATAGTCGTCACGAAATTTCAGCTTAAGCTATCCATTGACCCTGGGGCGGTTTGGCTCTGGTTTGCGGATAATCTCGATCCTTTGAGCAGGGATTTGAAGGTCTACGCCCCCGTCAGGCCTTGCATTCCTTCCCCAGTGTTCGATGGTAATTCGACCACGAGCATGCACGGTCATTGCGATGGCGACCTGACTGTTGGAGCTTTCAAGCCAAAATTCGATGTCTTGCAGGATTTTTCGTCGAGGTTTAGACCACGCTAATTCGTCAACGATACTTGGCTACTTGTTGAGTCCTCAGGCTCTCAGTTTCATCGGCATTAATGACATGTCTGCTTTATTGGTCGTGGTCTTTCTGCGGAAACCGCTTCCACCATTAGGGACTATGAAGATGTCTTCGTGGATTCCGGTCCAAGCATAGAAAACAGTATCAAATGCTCTGTCAGCTGCTGTGTGGGAAGTCGACTCCATCTCCAAAATAGTGGACTGAGAAGCAGGGTCGTAAACCTCCTATGATGGCGTAAGGAGCTCCTCTCCAGCAGAAAGTATTCATGGAAGGAGCTTTGATCAATATTAACAAGGACAAAAGGGTTGGATAAGCCTCCAGGTTCCTCACACTCATATTTGTCGAAATTTTGTCGCATTTTCATAAAATACTCGTCTTCTCACCTGTCCGTGTAATTGTGCTATATCAGCTGGAAAAATAGAACACAAAGCAAGAAGGCCTGCCAGATGCCCAGGTGTGGGGTGACTGGGTAAATTTGTAAGTATGACGACACGTTTTTTGGTAGCCTTTTGGTAGTCTTTGTGGAGGTCATTGTGGAGATATTTTCTGGTAGCAGATCTTATAGCCAGAAAGTCAAGAAGGATTTCCCTTGGAAATTTATGATCTGCATATCATTGGACCCTGATACCGCCTTCCATATCCGGAGCCAGGGCGGACTCCAAAAATAGCCAGGCCATGACGTCAAACCCCACACTATCAACATGGGGTACGCGCTAGACCAACGTCTGCTGCCCAGGTGGTAAATACCAAGCTTCTCCCCTCCCAGTTCATTTTCATTCATAATTGTTGAAGATGAGCCATGGATCACAAATGCCGGGACAGTTGGACAATGAGAGTCAGGATCTCACCCAGACCCCAGAGGAGCTTGATCCTTTCCAGACACTGAGCTCAAGACTGCCCAACACACAATGGAAGGCATCTTCGCGAAACGTAGAGGAGACACTTGCTAAGGGTCTGTCCAATGAAGATCTATGGATGTTGATCCGAAGATTTAACAAGGTTAGTGTGGTCTCTAGTTGTCGATAATATTATCTGACATGTGATTAGCAAATCTACCATGTGAAAGCGGTTCATGACACCGCTACTCTGAATTTGGATCTCAATCGCACTCAAAATGAACAGTTTCCACCCGAAAAGTTGCGTATGACGCTAGAGAGATTTTATGTCTCCGTGGTCGTCGGATTAACCAAGTTTTTTCGCCATATCACTCGTCTGAGATCATGGAAGGAACCAGTTAGAACGACAATCTTCTGCATGGTATGTGTGTCATGAGTATTTAAAAATAATTTGGATATTGATATCTTGCAGGGCTATTTTGTTGCTTGGGCTGTAGATCTCTTGGTTCCAACCTTTTTGTGTCTTGTTGTAGCCTTGATAATGGTTCCGTCTGTTCGGCTATTACTATTCCCTGGGTTGGCAAAGTCAGACAGCTCAAATAGAAGTACTTCTACAGAAGGACAAGTTCAATTCGAGGATAGCCTCACAGGTGCCCCAGAAAACCACAAGGGCGAAGCCGCCGAAGAAGAAGCCAAGAATCTGGTTGACAGCTTTGCCACCGTTGCTTTGGAGAGTGCAGCGGCAAAATATGGCCAGAAGGTGACTGAGGATGACCCAGACAGACCTGCACTCATTGAAAGCTTAACAGCTGCCGAGGCTGCAGCCGGAACATCGACTGGTGATTACCCCGAAGATACGACTAAGACGCCCATGAAAAAGAAAGTTTCATATGCGACTGATAATGTTATGCGCATTCTGAGCGATATCACGGACATCTATGAGAAATTCGCCAAGTGAGTTCTTTCTGGAAAGACACGTGAACACATGATTTTAACCATAACAGCATCCTTTCTCCAACACCTCCGTTCTTTTTAGTCACATCCAGACTCCGCCTTGCGAGCGTCTTTACCTTCGTGTCTATCATTGTACCCTTCATATCTAGTTATTGGATCATCAAACTCGTTGGCTTCGCACTTGGACTAGGCTTCTTCGGTGAACCAATCTTTACCTACACCCTTGATCTCCTGAACGCTAAAGTACCAAACTGGAAAGATCACCTCGATGTACAAAAGTACTATTCAACTCAATCCTTTTTTGCCGTTTTATTGCGTGGCTGACTTGAGATACAGGACAATTTTGGCTGGCGTTCCCACAAATGCGCAGCTCACTTTGACTCTGCTCCGAATCGGCGAAATCAATTCTTCGCCACTACCACCTGCCCCATCATCCGATGATAACGAGCCAGCTTGGCCCATCCGACGCAAAAAGCCACAGGCAGCGAGCTCTACCGATGTCAGCAGGCAGGGGTTTTCTGTTGACCTCCAGTCGACAAACGCCACCGCATCGCTTCCAGAAACAAAGGTGCCAAAGAGGAAATTTGTGTTCAAACTCCTTAAGTTTTTTCGGCGCACAATTGCTACGGCAATCAAGGGCCACATCGCCTTTGACCGAGCTATGGCCATTGCGGGATCAGCACATACCAAGAACCTGATTAGAATGCTGCAAAATGGACACTTAACCGCAACGCCCTTCGGGCCCTTGAAGTTCGATGCGAAGTTCGAACGCAAGAGAGGTGCGGCGGTCATCGATTCGTCAAAAGAGCCTCCTATCTTGTATTTTACCACTTATCAATCCGCTGGACTGGATGATTTACGCATCGAAAGTCGGAAGAAGGGAACTGTCCTTTTCCAGATTCCTGTCACTGAAATTAAAGAGCTGAAGAAGACGGAGGGACTGGGATGGAAGGGGAAATTGATTGTTGAATTGACTGCTGGGAGCAAGGAAGCTGCAGATGGTTTGGTTGTTAGCGGAAATGAACTGGGCCAGTCTTACCATCTTACTGGTATGAGATCACGGAATCAATTGTTTAATCGGTTGGTTGCTATTGATGCGCAGTTTTGGGAAAGTCGTTGACACTTGACACCTACATGGATGTCTAGCTCCGTGGTATATACTACATCTGGTATAGTGGGAGTCTACTATGAGCACCGGAGCCTTCTTCTATAGAATGACAACCTTGGAAATATTGTGTACAGGATCCTAGGTTGAAACCTCAGTTTTTGACTGACCAAGTTCAAAGCAGAAATGATTGAGCAGTCAATGCTCGGATCTTCTCACCAATTTGGGTGCGTAATGCCTCTTTAAAGCTCGTGAATCAAACCGAGTAGAAGAGAGATTTCAATAGGGACTTCGGCAACTACTGTCCTTGTGACACAGCCAGAAACTCGTCTCAGTCAATGACTCGTCCCGATAAAAGATTAGCATAAAAAGAGAAAAAAATCCAAATCAGTCCCCAAAGAGCGGAGGCGAAATATTCTTCCCTTGTTTCAAATGAAATCGACATAGCACCCTCTTTGTTTTGGGATTTGGACGTGGATGCATGCTTGATGTTGCTGCTACTAGCCACGGAGCGTCGGTTATTAGTAGAACGTCTTTCAACGGACCCGAACTAAGATAGACAGTAAAGAAACGATGAAGTAGTATTGCCTAGAAACTAGCTGAAGAACCCTTAGCCATAATTATCATAGCGGTGGAAGAGATAGCCTCGAAGATGACCCGCCAAGCATTCTGAGCCAACGTGGAGATCGGGGTTGATTCGAGTATTTGATGGGTGCACCCAACCACAGATACGTTTTTCAGATGATTTGCAAATAATATGTATTGGTAGAACTGAATCAACAATATGAATGGGTATCGGTGGAGAATGCTGACGGCTTTTCCCAAACGCATGTTTCTTTGATAACTCGCTGCTATGCGCTGTGTGCTGCAGGCAAACAAAGAAGCACCGAACAGGTGGCGTCGGGTGACTGTAAGCTAGTTGGGAGCTATGCAAACGACTGAGAGGATAGAGGCTTGTTCGATTTTCTACCAGATTGGTTTTTTAATATCTTGGGTTGGACAGACGGACGAGAAACCGTCCACTTGTTCCCTGCATTTTGCTGTCAAGGTGGTTCAAAAATCGAACATATGCAGTCAGCAAAGGGTATTACACTGCTTGTTTCAAGTGACACAAAGGACGTCTCTGAGAATGAAGAGATATAACTACTCTCCGAATTATAGAAATTGTACTTCGCGACCCACATTTTGCCTGAGGCACCAGTGTTTGATCGTCGCGACAGCTCAGCCCCTAAGAGTTTTTCTAATTCTTTTCCTATCAGACACCCCATCCAGCTCTCAATTGATTCCACAAAGCATAAAACACATCTAAATAGTGTTGATTCCACCAGGTTGAGACATCTACAAGCTTGCCTACCATCATAGACCCCCTCTACGATCTCCAAATCACCAAATCTACCATGGCGTCCACCGCGTCCTTCACTCTGGACGTGGCGACAGTCCTCTGCATTGTATTTTCACTTTCTATGATGCCAATCGCGTACATTTTGAGCAAGACCCTTGTCCCAGCCCACAGGACACGCGATCGTGTCCTCTTTTTCTGGCACGCGTATGATGCCCTCACCCATGTCTTCATCGAAGGCTCATTCCTCTACGAATGCTTCTTCAGCTTTACCACCGTTACTGAAAATAGAAGTGTGGAGCCCTTCTTCCTCAACGACCCAACCCGTATTTATGGTCCCGCCTACGGCACTGGACCTAGCTCACGCCTCTGGCAGGAATACGCCAAGGCTGACCGCCGATGGGCTGGCCCTGATTTAACTGTCGTCTCGCTGGAGTTATTGACCGTTTTCCTCGGTGGTCCGGCTGCGATTTATATCTGCTATCTGCTGTGTCGGTCGTCGAATGAGAAGATCAGTGCCAAGTCCCGTGGCAGTGTTAAGGCGACGCTGTGGCTGGTTTCAACCGTGCTTGCTACGGCCGAGTTGTACGGTGGATTTATGACCTTTGCACCGGAGTGGCTGACAGGAAGCTCCCAGCTGGCTACTGAGGATCCGGTGTACCTTTGGCTGTACTTGTTCTTCTTCAACACCCTCTGGGTCTTTATCCCTCTGTGGGTGTTGTGGGAGGCGGCGAAAGAACTACGTGGTGCCTTTGTGACCGCGGAGTCTCAGAATGAGAGGAAGACTCGGTAAGCTCGACCTGCGCGTGGGTATTTTTGGAATTCCTGGATGAACGTATGGCCGGAGCGTTTTCTACTTTTTTTCTCTTGAGAACTTTCGTCGGTCCATATCCATCAGGTACAGAACGAGGCTGGCAAAATGTCGCCACGTTGGTTAAGGATCGTGATAGCCTGTGTTGTGATAGAGTCCCCATTGTCGCTCAAGCATTGCCAGCTTTTGGTAATACATGGCTTCGTACATAAGATGTCGATGCATACGATCAAGAGTGTGAAAAACAGTAGCTTCCAAGGTCATCGCCGAGACTTGAATGTCCTATTTTGACTAGACGCAGCTACCACTACATATTTCGACAATGACGATGAGTCAGAAAATTGCCTACTTGGCCTGAGAGATTCCTAGACGATAGGAATCTATAAGGACCTATAAATACTTGGTCACAACTTCCTAAGATACATCACGGTTAGCGTAGTGGTTTTGATTCCCTCGATGTACTCATGTCTTCAGCTTTTCCCCCCAACTTCTCAAATTTTGTGCTCATAGCACCAAACTTAGCTGCGGTCCCGATTCCTCGGGGGCTTCGCTCAGACAGCTGGACCAAACCATGGTTATCTACATCCCCCGCCAGAGGAAACGGAACGTAAGCATCTATAAAGAGTTCGCCAGCTTGAACTCTAGCCCCGGTTTGAAAGGGTTGCGATGGAGGCCACGGATCTCTTGCCATATGACTCCTCTTGATTGACCATCTATCGCGGTTTCGATACCCCAGTTCGTTATCGTTCAGACAACTGAATAAAGGGATGATCTAATTTATTATAAGCCTTAGCACATTGCTATACTACCACACGACGAAGAGACAGCTTTACCTTCTTGAGTGCAGTGATTGCCTCTGCTGGGTTTGCCTTACCAGCAGCATTCCATTTCTTAAATTTATCGGAGCACCACGACGCTACAACTATGTAATCAGCTCTGGGGTAAGCGAGAAGAAAGATTAATCTGACGATGTAAGTAGCCGCGAAGGCGACTAAGAAATCGTGATGGCGACTCAGCGACTGCTATATCCATGGATGTGGCATGTTGCGCATAAAATCTCGTCCCTTCCACCTTGTCATCTTTCTTCATCCACCGCCGAGTTTTCTTTCTTCCTCCACCTAGAGGCCAGAGATCAGTTTTATCAAATATGGCATTCCTGGTGCCTATTTCCCTTCTCCCCCTCGTTTATCGAACCCCTCCTAAACCAGAAACGGGGTTTCAAGACCTCGCGACAGAAATCAAGAATCTCATTGTTCACTACCTTGATCGTGACACCTTGACGTTGAGCCATGTGGCTGCCTGCAACAGGCAATTATACCAAATCACTATGCCCGTTCTGTACGCGCATGTTTCTCTGGGAGCTCCTTCTAATTACCGGATTTGGCCCGGTTTGGCATGGTCCGCAGATCGTCGTTCCGTAAGTCGCCTCTCTTCAAAGAATCTTCACATTCTGATGCCGGACATGCAGATTGAAAGATTTCTTCTTACCATCCTCCGCAACCCTTGCATTGCGAGACTCGTCAAATCTCTCGATTTGACTGACCTGCACGACCTTTGCTGCGCGCACAGGCACTGTCATAACCATCCTGATAGAGAAGAGCTCGTTCTTCGACCCCTCCCTTTACAAGAACGTAAGATCATTATGGACGCCGGTATGAATTTACCATTGTATCCATCAATCAGGGCGGTACTGCGCCGAGCGCTTGAGCTTGATGTACCCCGGTCAGATGCGTTGCTGGCCGTTCTTCTGGGTTATCTGCCTGCCTTGAAGTGCCTCGAGATCAAGATGGAGACCGAGGATCCATATTATGATCCTCCAGTCACAGAGTGGAATCTGGTTGAACGTGTTTTGATCAGTATCGCAGGTGCACGCCCTAGCCACATGATGGAGGAAAATGGCATTCTGACTTTGCCCGCACCGATGCTGTCTGAGCTCACTCACCTGAAAACCGAAGTCGAAGGAACCCGGCCCTTGGCTGACATTGACGCGCTTATGGTGCTTCTTCAGATTTCCACCTTGACTCATGTCTTCGGCACTAAATGGACCAACGCACTGCGGTGGTTGAGACCTGGATTTCAAAAAGCCGATCGCCTCGTTCACCTCGAACTTCGCGACTGCACCTTTGACGCCGAGTGCCTTCAAAAACTACTCAAACAATCCTACAAATTACAAACCTTCATCTACGAACGCGGGTGGACCAAGGAGAAGAATTGGGTCTTGAAAGTCCCAGATCTCAGCAAGGCGCTTCAATACACACACAAGACCCTGACCTGTCTTGAACTCTCCTTCAATCAAAGTGGCCGAAAGATACACGAAGACTTGTATCTTCAGCCTCTCGACCTATCGGGGCTTGTTCATCTGAAGAGACTACGAATTTCGGCCGGCTATCTTGTCCAGACCGAGGAGAAGATCTCATCATTTGAAGGTCGCTACTTGAGGTTGTATGACCTGGATGGAGTATTCAACAGTGCACAGCCTTTGCACGAGTTACTTCCAAAATCACTTGAGGAGCTGCACATCTTCCAAATCCACGATGGTCTTGAGTTTATCCTCATGTCCGATAAGCTGTGCGAAAGTCTCTACAGTCGAATGTTGCCCATCTCATCCGAGCCTTGCCATTTCCAGCGCCTCAATGAGATCATTATAGAGGCCCCGTTTGAGGACAAAGGCGTGTACTTGTTTGACGTCCTCTCCCAAATCACAAAATTTGCGGGAGTTAAGTTGACAACGATTGAAAACTCCGCAGATTACGTCAAATCTTGGATTACCGGTGCTTCAAAAGCATCTTGTTCAGACAAAAAGATTGACTGGGGGTTTGACGGCGAGATCCAGTGGGCACATCCTTTCACTCAGCGAGGGGAAACGAATTTCGATCTCTAGTGAAGCAGCCCGAAGGGACTAATCCCAGACAGAGGCGAGGATTCAGATGAGATATCAAGCGGCGTTAGGAACAATTCCATTCCCATTCATATGTAATGAGTACAGAGTATGTAGGAATTGACTGCCTTGGAGCCTGGTGTAACTATAGATCGTTCGATCTACATGACGTAATCTCTCCACACGGGGCAGTGGACCTCGGCTCTCAAAAGAGATCACGTTCGCACTTTGTGGAGAATCCTTCCCACTATCTGGAATTATCATCACTTCAACCCATTTGGGAAATCTTTTTCTCATGCACGTCCTGTCTGAAATGGTTATCAGAGGCTGAGGGGTCTCGTCCGGAGCATAACGTCGATTTCCCAGAGCTGAATCTCGAACCCGAGCAAAGACATGACTGAATTTAAGCTATCCTACGAGTCTCAACTGGTAAGTTCCGAAGAGCTCGCTTCTTTTCCCCGCACGTCTGCACCCATATTTCTACACTGCATCAAATTGTACTGACATGCTCACGCATTTAAGGACATCTATCACCCCTCCTACCGCTACGAAGCCCAGGACCCGGACTGGAAATCTGCCGCTCTCCGTGGCCCTGCACTCCCTGCTCTAGGAAATGCAACTGCAGGTGCAGTCGGCGCAGCCATCTCCAATGTGGTCGTCTACCCTCTCAACGTCATCGTCGCCCGTCTACAGACCCAGAAGCAGAAAGACGGCGACTCAAGCGAGAAATCAGATGAAGACGAGAGTTCCAACGAAAAATACACCAGTGTGGTGGATGCTGCCTGCAAGATATATGCACAGCAAGGCATTGCCGGCTTCTACCCTGGTCTAGCGCAGGATACCTGGAAGACAGTCGCGGATTCTTTCCTTTTCTTTCTTGCATATAGTGTCATCCGCCAGAAGAGGATGGTCGCCCATGTAGGTGTAGAGCGAGCCGCTAAGAGCAGAAATAATGTCCTTCCGATAATCGATGAACTTGCCGTTGGGGTCTTAGCTGGCTCGTTTGCCAAGCTCTTCACCACCCCACTATCCAATATTGTCGCGCGCAAGCAGACATCTGCGGCGCGCAATGGCAGACACGCGACGAACTTGTCCACCAGTGACATCGCCGCTCGCATCCGCGCTGAGAAGGGTATACTAGGCTTTTGGTCTGGTTACTCGGCCACCCTGATACTCACACTGAATCCCTCTCTCACGTTCTTCCTCAATGAATTCCTCAAACGGACCCTCCTCCCACGCTCTAAGCGCGACAAGCCCCCTCCAGCTTTGACATTCCTTTTGGCGGCCTTAAGCAAAGTAGCCGCCTCGTCGATCACCTACCCCTTCTCTCTCGCGAAAACAAGAGCGCAAGTACTGAGCTCGGACTCCAAGGTTAAGTCTGGAAATGCAAAGACTCGTGCCTCCCTTCTCGCCTCCCTCATCCCCGAGATTCTTTCTACTGTCGCCACTATCGCCCGCAGAGATGGTATACAAGGACTCTATGCCGGGCTCCATGGTGAAGTGCTGAAAGGCTTCTTCTCGCACGGCTTTACAATGCTCGCAAAAGATGCAGTGTACGCCTTCATAGTCAAGAGCTACTATCTCCTTCTGCTGCTAGGACGTCGCTATCCCACGCCAGACGAACTTATCCAGCGTGCCCGCGAACAGGCGTCGGAGTATACCGAGATCGCACGTGAAGGAGCGCGTGACTTTGCGGAGAGAACGAAGGAGGGCGCCGAGGAGCTGGTGAACGCTAATTCTGGCGGTAACGCTGTTGGTGTTACGTCTTATCCCACAGGCGCTGCTGATGCCACCAGGAGTGCGCCTACTGGCATTGGTGCATTTTCGAGCCTGAAGGTTCATGTTTCATCCGATTCTGATGAAATCAATGAGACGGCTGAGCTGGTTGGTGATTATGTTGAGGATGAAGCGGTGGAGTGGAAGAGCCTTTATCATTGGTTCTGGGAGAAGGATCGTGGGCCGCATCGAGAATAACTTCCCAGGGCTCAAAGATGTGGTTTTAATAATTTTTGCAAAATTTTAAGCAGTCTTGTTACTGAAGTATATATAGTGTGATTTGATTTGATGATCTCTAGGCTTCTGTAGCCATCTAGCTTCTTGGGTCATCGCAAACGGAGTCCTATCTAAGAGGATCTGACGGCTCGACTTTTTCTAGCCCTTGCTCCAGCGCGACAGACTGTTCTATCCATCGATGTGGTCTCTCACCAGGGTTCCACAGATGAACACATTGATATCCGCCACGGAATCTTCGTCTATTTCCTCAAGTGTCTGCTTCTCTCTCCAAATTCGGACGTAATCAAGGCCGCAGGGTCCGAATGCGATCGGAGGTGCAAGTCCATGTGTGCTTTGAAGGCGAAAGGAAAAGGAACGAAGAACAGTTGAAAGTGAGCATTGACAAGTAACCCCAGTTTGATCATTTCCAAATTTATAGAGATCCCAGTCTCTGTAAGATCGAGCCTCTTTGTGGCAACACCTTATTAAAACTAACGGTTGCATCTATTATCCCTGGAAATGCCTAAGCCATATCGATTTTGACATCAATTCCTAGATCTCGATGATCTGCCGAGACGAGACATTATCTAAAATGATATCTCTGTCCCTAGAAGTTGATGAAAGAAACGACAAAGGATAAGAGGGCAAAAGGCGAGTGTAGGATGGATGTAAACAGATAAGTGGACCATCCGGCTTCAAGTAATTTCTTCAGAGAAAAAGAGTCAACGTTCATTGGGGGTCTGAATCAAGCGAATCCCCTCATCTCAATCGGGAGCCCGGGATGACGCTTCAAGGAATCAGCTCCAACTATGGAGATAGTGCTGACCTTGGCATCAACTTCGCACGTTGATTGGTTATCATTAATCGGTATACTTCCCACCCATTGGTATAAAGCTATCGCTAATCCCCAAGTGAACTTCAAATGAAATCAATATTCTCGAATTCTCCAAGATGGTATCAACCCAAGCCCCCAGGGACCTTTCCAAGTCCAACCGGCTCATCTACAGAGCTCCAGAGAACTCCGAAGCGGATCTAGCATTTTTCCATGATCTTCTCAATGACCCTATAATTCAAACAATGAGTACTGGACGTCTCCCGCACCCGTCGCCGAAACCCTCTGCTGGAGAATTCATCAAAATTCTCCAAGATGCCATTCTAGGAGTGGTCATCTGTCTCCCTCCGCAGAGTGGCCCCGAAGCCGAGACAAACGCCACTGAGACTCCAACTTCGCTTGAACCTACTTCCACATCCAATCCAGTCCCAATTGGCCACGTGAACCTTTTCAGTCTTCATGGCCCACATTACACTCACCATCGCAATGCCATGATAGGAATCTCGCTGGTAGACGGGTTTCGGGGGAAAGGATACGGCGGAGAAGCTATCAACTGGGCACTGGACTGGGCATTTCAGCACGTTGGGCTGCACAGAGTCTCCATAGGGGCATTTTCGTTCAACGAGAATGCATTAAAGCTGTACAGAAAGCTTGGATTTGTGGATGAAGGTCGCGAACGTGAGGCTGTATACCATCGCCGCGCTTGGCATGATACTGTCAGTTTGTCCATGTTGGAGCACGAGTGGGAAATTTTGAGAGGACTCGCGCCGCATCCATCCGCACGCACTCCTCCAGTCTCCAGCTGAAGCATCGGATCAATAATGGCCCGACGGACGGTACCTTATGGGCAGCCGTATGACTTCAGGTTGATCGAGTCTTGGCTCGGCTTTCCTCATGGAGGGAGTTGAAGGTAGCTAGTTTGGGAGTCTGACTCGGGGGCATCTGTATGGCTGAATGGTAGCTGATTGGCTTGGTGACTCCCTTGCATTCAATAGACCACAGAGAGAAGCTCTACTCTCACTAATGATTTGCGGAGAACTTGTCTTGATTTGTTCATTTTTCCAGTCTCAAATCTCAATTAGCTCTTCTTCATCCTACTCCTGGAAGATTGTGGGAATCTGTTATATTTATTTCACAGGT